GGGAGGGATGAGACAACTGTAAGTCTCATCGAAGCACAGCAAATTACTTTCGAGCAGCAATTCCTTGACATTGTTTTATGAAAATCAGACTATTTCATATATCATTAGGGTTGCTGTGGTTTTTCTGGGCAGTATGGCCATGTTCCAGAAGCATTTTCTCCTGACGTTTCACCCACATCTATGGCAGGCATCATCAGAATTTGTGAGGTTTGTCGAAAACAAGGAAAGAGGGGTTTATATATCTGTGGAATGTCCAGGATGGGAGAAATAACTGTTTTCTGTTTAAGGCAAGTGTGACTGTTGCAATTGATCCTTTTGGTCACCCTGGGCACACAGAAGACTGAGCGACTTGGAAGGTGAAGAATAGACTGCGCTCTGGCACCACTAGATGCAAAGCCAACTTTAAGAAATGGGGCCATCAAGTGGGAGTCCACTATTTGCGAGTGCGGGGAAAAGCAAACCACAGACCACCTATTGCAATGTATTCTGAACCCTGCCACATACACAATGGAGAACCTTCTTATAGCAACACCAGAGGCACTCCAAGTGGCCAGCTTCTACTGCTCAAAGGACATTTATATAATGCCAAGTTTTTAAACTTTGTGTTTTTTTAAAATAGAACTGTACCCTTGGTTCGCTCCTGATACAATAAAATAAATACTTTGATTAGCATTAAATAGCCTTGCAACTTCAAGGCTTGGCTGCTTCCTGCCTAGGGGAATCCATTGCTGGGAGGTTTTTTGTTTTTTGTCGTGTCAGAAGTCACTTCTGGTGTGAGAGAATTGGCTGTCTGCAAGAACGTTGCCCAGGGAACGCCCGGATGATTTTGATGTTTTTATCATCCTTGTGGGAGGCTTCTCTCATGTCCCCGCATGAGGAGCTGGAGCTGATAGAGGGAGCTTATCCGCCTCTCCCCGGATTCGAACCTGCGACCTGTCGGTCTTCAGTCCTGCCGGCACAGGGGTTTGGGAGGTGATTACTTGGGAGGTGATATAAACTCTACTTGCCTTGTTTCAAACAAACCTCACAACCTCTGAAGTCAAATGTGGGTGAAACTGCAGGGGAAAATGCTTCTGGAACATGGCTGTACAGCCTGGAAAACTCACAGCAACCCAGTGATTCTAGCCATGAAAGCCTTCGACAACACACATTATTTCCTTGCCATGAAAATGCGGTGGTTTGCAGCAGTGACATAATCACACTAGAGAATGAATGCATTTTAAATCTGGTTTCTGCCTCCTGCAGAATTCTGGGGTTTGTAGTTTAGTGGGGCTCTTAAAGGCTCCACCCTAAACTACAAACCCCAGAATTCTGAAGGAGGCAGCGACTGGATTAAAAGTGGATTCATTCTCAATTGTGCTGAAGTGCCCTTCCACACATCCCTATTTCCCAGAATATCAAGGCAGAAAATCCCACATCTGCTTTGAACTAGATTATCTGAGTCCACGGTGGCGCAGTGGAATAAAGCCGAGCTTGTTTACTGAAAGGCCGCAGGTTTGATTCCGGGGAGCGGCATGAGCTTCCGCTATCAGCCCCAGCTTCTGCCAACCTAGCAGCTCAAAAACATGCAAATGTGAGTAGATCAATAGGTACCGCTCTGGCAGAAAGGTAACAGCGTTCCATGCGGTCATGCCGGCCACATGACCTTGGAGAGGTCTACAAACAATGCCAGCTCTTTGGCTTAGAAATGGAGATGAGCACCACACCCAAGTCGGAAACGACTGGACTTAGTGTCAGGGGAAAACCTTTACTATCTGAGTCCACACTCAGATAATGTGGGGTTTTCTGCCTTGATATTCTGGGATATATGGCTGTGTGAAAGGGCCCAAAGTAGCTACATCTACAGTGCAGAATTAAGGCAGTTTGGCCCCACTTTTAACTATCATGGCTCAATGCTGTGGAATCATGGGAACTGTAGTTTGGTGAGGCACTGGTACTCTTTGGCTGAGAAGTCCAAAGGTCTTGCAAAACTACAACTCCCATTATTCCAAAGCATAATTTTATTTCTTACCCGCTTCTCCTCACGGCTCAAGCATTGAGGTGATTACTTGGGAGGTGATATAAAGGGGTATCAAACTGCTTTAATTATACAGTGTAGAGATGCAGCCTGGGATTAAACAACTATTTATTTTGATTTAAACATGGTTAGCTCCTATGAGCGAAGGGATCTTGTAGCACAGGTATGGCCAAACTTGGGCCCTCTGGGTGTTTTAGACTTCAACTCCCATCATTCCTAACAGCCTTAGGCCCCTTCCTGAACCCCCTCAGCTGCTTAAGTTTGCCCATGCCAAACTAACACTTCAACCCGCTCTCCCTGGATTCGAACCACTGACCTATTGGTCAGCAGTCCTGCTGGCACAAGGGTTTAACCCACTGTGCCACTGGGGGCTCCTCAATAATAAATTTATAATGCTACTACTACTGCTAATAATAATTATATATAAACAGGTAAAGGTTTTCTCCTGACATTAAGTCCAGTCATGTCTGACTCTGGGGGTTGGTCCGACTCCAATTCTAAGCTGAAGAGCCAGCGTTGTCCGTAGACACCTCCAAGGTCATGTAGCCAGCGTGCCATTATAATATATAATGATAATAATATTGCAATATAGTAATACTAATATGTTAAATATAATTACTCTTACTAATATATATAAAATATATAATGATATACTGTTTATCATTGTATATTTGAAGTTGTAATGTTGATTGTGAGCTGCTTTGAGTCTGTAGAGCAGGGGTCCTCGAACTTTTTAAACAGAGGGCCAGATCACAGTCTCAAACTGTTGGAGGGCCAGATTATAATTTGAAAAAAGCATGAATGAATTCCTATGCACACTGCACATATCTTATTTGTAGTGCAAAAAACACAAACAATACAATAATTAAGATGAAGAACAATTTTAACAAATATAAATTTATTAGTATTTCAGTGGGAAGTGTGAGCCTGCTTTTGGCTGATGAGATAGGATTGTTGTTGTGTGCTTTCAAATAATTTCAGATTTAGGTTGATCCTGAGTGAGGGCTGGGTAAATGAGCTTAGAGGGCTGTATCCGGCCTGGACCTTAGTTTGAGGACCCCTGTTCTAGAGGCATTCTCTCCTGACGTTTCGCCTGCATCTATGGCAAGCATACTCAGAGGTAGTGAGGTCTGTCGGAATTAGGAAAAAGGGTTTATATATCTGTGGAATGACAAAGGACTCTTGTCTGCAGGAGCTAGGTGTGAATGTTTCAACTGACCACCTTGATTAGCATTTGATGGCCTGGCAGTGCCTGGGGCAATCTTTTGTTGAGAGGTGATTAGATGTCCCAGATTCCACAGACATATAAAACCTTTTCCCTAATTCCAACAGACCTCACTACCTCTGAGGATGTTTGCCATAGATGCAGGTGAAACATCAGGAGAGAATGCCTCTAGAACAGTGGTTCTCAACCTGGGGTCCCCAGATGTTTCTGGCCTACAACTCCCAGAAATCCCAGCCAGTTTAACAGCTGTCAGGATTCCTGGAAGTTGAAAGCCAAAAACATCTGGGGACCCCAAGTTGAGAACCACTGCTCAAGAACATGGCCATATAGCCCGAAAATCCCACAACAACCCAGTGATTCCAGCCACGAAAGCCTTCGACAACATAAAATGATATACCGTTTATCATTGTATATCTGAAGTTGTAATGTTGATTGTGAGCTGCTTTTGAGCCTATAGAGTATATAAAACGGGTTGGAGATAGATATATCTGGATAGGCAAAGAGAATATATGTGATATATGTGGATAGGTATATGTATGGATAGGTATATGATATATGTGGATATTAGGGCTGGGTGGTTTCGTTCGTTAATTTCGTAATTCATTATTGATTCGTATTTAAATTAGCTTACGATCCGATATTGAGCCATGCAGGAGCAACTAGAAATCGAAACAAATTTTTCAATTTATTTCGTAATTGGTTCGTAATTGGTTCGAAATCGTTTCGAAATTGTTTCGTTATTATTTCCGTATGTCTGGTGCAAGTTTTATAGTTGTTGTTTGTTTTATCAGTGATAAAAAAATAAATTATCACACCAACAGTCAACAACAGAGGGAGAGGGAAGCTTCAGAAGTGCCCCCTGTCCCATTTGGAGGTTTTTTTTAGCGTATTGCGCAATCACGTCCGCCATTAACGAATCAATTCGAAATTTACGAAATTTCGTAAATAACAAAAAATGTTAAAGAAAAAATTCGGAATTCTTTTAAAAAAACAAAACGCAATGGACCCCCTAAAAACGAAACGAGTTTAGAAACAAATTTTTCCGTTGTTACCCAGCCCTAGTGGATATATGTGGATAGGCAAAGAGAATAGACTCTCAGTTAGCTGGAACTCAAACAAGGCGCAAATAAAAAAATCAAATATTTTAGACAAAATTAAAATCAATCCTGAGCAACAACGTCCACTAAAACGTACATTATGTGAAACTTTAAACTGTGTTAATGAAATCTATTCATTGACTACTGCAGTCACAATGCTGCTTTTTTGTATAATACAGTAAATCTGTGGCTTATTCGGTCAAGTTTGCCTTTACTTCGCTTTTTAATTGATATATTTCAACATTAGTTTAAAGTCAATGGAGAGTTTATAGCAGGCCTGGGCCAACTTGGCCCCTCCCTCCGGGTGTTTTGGACTTCAACTCCCATCATTCCTAACAGCCTCAGGCTCCTTCCTTTCCCCCTCAGCTTAAGCGGCTGAGGGGGAAAAGGAAGGGGCCTGAGGCTGTTAGGAATGATGGGAGTTGAAGTCCAAAACACCCGGAGGGAGGGCCCAAGCTGGCCCAGGCCCGTTCCAAACCAACACTTCTCCGTCTTCGAAACCAGATTTCCTCCTGCGAAGAGAGCGCGCAAAGAGCCACCATTTAGGAAGCATTGCGTTGCATTGGAGGCTGAGGGAAGTCCCCTCCCGCCTCTCACGAAACCAGTTCCGGGGCAAAAGGGGAGGGTGTTTGAGGGGGGAGGCTATATAAGTCAGGCCTTCCCGGCAGCCTCTCTCTTTTCCCCTCCTTCTTGAAGGCAGAGAGGCCTGCTTCCTGACTCACCGCTGTTCCGTGGGCCTCGTGCGCTCGCTCGAATAAGTCGGTCAGGAAGGAAAGAAGGCCGCCATGGTGAGAGAGAGAGAGAGAGAGAAAGAGAGGGAGCCAATGAGGGGAGCCCGCGGGGGGCGCGCGGCCAGGCTTTGAAACGTTCGAAAAAAGGGCTTTGGAGGGGGGTTTGTTACCAGTTGGTTTCGCCCACTCCAACCCTCTCCCCCCCCCACTCAAGTTTGCGAGCGTGCGCCCTTCCGTTCTCTCGCCTCGCTTCTCTGAAAGGAAGACACTCTTTGTTGGACTTTTCCATTTGATTTAAAAAAGGGGTGGCTGTGCCTTTGCATTTTCCCAGAAGGAAGGGGGGGGGGGAGAAGGCCGTCGTTTTAAGTACAGGCTCTTTACAAGACGATACCATTTGACCGAGGAAAACCGGGGAGGGGGGGGGGGTTGTCTTTTTCATCTCTCAGAAGGATTTAATCGTCCTGTGAGAAACTGGATTTATAAGTAGCCCATGCAGTCATGCAGGCCACATGACCTTGGAGGTGTCTATGGACAACGCCGGCTCTTCAGCTTAGAAATGGAGATGGGAAAACCGGGAGGGGGGGTTGTCTTTTTCATCTCCCAGAAGGATTCAATCATCCTGCGAGAAACTGGATTTATAAGTAACCCATGCAGGCCACATGACCTTGGAAGTGTCTGTGGACAACGCCGGCTCTTCAGCTTAGAAATGGAGATGAGCACCACACCCCAGAGTCAGACATGACTGGACTTAATGTCAGGGCACAACCTTTACCTTTATTTAATGGCTAAATATATACTATGGTATAAAATGGAGCCCCCGGTGGTCCAGTGGGTTAAACCGCTGAGCTGCTGAACTTGCTAACCGAAAGGTCGCAGGTTCGAATCTGGGGAGCGGGCTGAGCTCCTGCTGTTAGCCTCAGCTTCTGCCAACCTAGCAGTTTGAAAACATGTAAATAGATCAATAGGTACCGGGTAATAGTATGGAAGCTCTGAGCGTTATGCTGTTTCTGCCTCGCTCCTTTAGGAGCGCTGCTTGCACAACGCAGAATGGAACACAGATATCATAGGAGAAATGTAAGAGCGCTTCAATGGTAAAACCTGAACTCTTACCCTTAATCCTAACCCTAAACCAGTGGTTCTCAACCTGGTGTCCCCAGATGTTTTTGGCCTTCAACACTCAGAAATCATAACAGCTGGTAAACTGGCTGGGATTTCTGGGAGTTGTAGGCCAAAAACATCTGGGGACCCCAGGTTGAGAACCACTGCCCTAACCCTTACCCTAACTGTCCCCTTCTTTCTATCCTTCCACCCAATGCAACTACAAAGTATCTTCCCACCCTCCTCAATGTGCCACTCTCCCCTTCCCTTATTCACAACTGCCATTGCGGAATGTGTGCAATACTCGGAGCTTCCGGGCCCAGGTATCATACTATCACAAGGTACTGCTCCGGCAGGAAGGTAACGGCACTCCATGCAGTCGTGCCTGCGACATGACCTTGGAGGTGTCTCCGGACAATGTCTGCTCTTCGACTTAGAAATGGAGGTGCGCACCAACCCCCCAGAGTCGGACACGACTAGACTTAATGTCAGGGGTGTAAAACTGGTGGTGTAAAATCTGTGCTTTGTGTACTCACTTTGAACCTTAGATCTCACTTTCTATAAAAATAATAATTCATGAACTTTTCACAGCCCAAATGTTTCACCCACATCTATGGCAGGCATCCTCAGAGGTTGAGGGATCTGTTGGAAACCAGGCAAGTGAGGTATATATATCTGTGGAATGCCCAGGGTGGGACAAAGAACTCTTGTCTGTTGAGGCAAGTTTGAATGTTTTGCAAGGCCATTAAATGCTAATCAAGGTGGCCGTTTGCGACATAAACACTTGCCTCAAGCAGACAAGAGTAATCCGGTAATCCGGTGCGATGAAGTTGATGACAAGGACTGGTAATTATTGACGATGAATTCGGATTATGATTTTAACTAAGAGATGCATTGGTCGGTATTGGTGGCCCGATACTGTGTACTGTATATGTTTTTTATGCTTTTAAATTGTTTGATTATTGTTGTTTTTAAGTACTGTTAACCGCAATGAGTCGCCGTTGTAGGCTGAGATATTGCGGTATATAAGCATACAAAATAAATAAAAAATAAATAAAGAGGTCTTCCTTCCATCCTGGACATTCCACAGGTATATAAACCTCACTGGCCTAGTTTCCAACAGACCCCTCAATCTAATGATGCCTGCCATAGATGTAGGCGAAATGTCAGGAGAGAATGCTTCTGGAACATGCGCAGACAGCCCTAAAAACTCAGAGCAATCCAAGAGCAAGTGCACCAAAAAATTAAGCTTGGTTGGAATCTGATAGCAATTTCTATCAGGAAATTGAGCAGTCACTTCCACATATTTTTATAATTATTGGATACGATCAGCATTTGTAGCCTGAAAACTTTTTGATGTATGTACAGTTCGAGTGAGACATTTAAGTAAAAAATGTGTTTTTCCAAACTGTTTGTTTCAGGCATTCAAAGATTCTGGGAAAGCTCCTGTGGAACAGGAAGTAGCCATTCATCGAATCAGGATTACCTTGACAAGTCGCAATGTAAAGTCTCTAGAAAAGGGTGAGTAGCAAATTGACACAGGAATTCTGGCTATTTGGCAAAAGCCTTACATGTAGTTTCTCTGTTCAATCTTTGGTTCTTTTCTCGCCTGACTTTGCCAATTTAGGATACATCGACACTATAGAATTAATGCAGTTTCACCCCATTTTAACTGCTATGGCTCAGTGCGATGAGATCCTGGGAGTTTTGTGAGATTTTTTGCCTCTGCCAAAAAGGGCTGGTGCTTCATCAAACTACAGATCCCAGAATTCAATAACATTGTACCATCGCCACTAAAGTGGTGTTAAACGATATGCTATAGTTTTTACTTTATGGTAATGTACTATATGTATTTTGTGCTTTGTCTTAAGCACTTTGTGCCATATGTAAACCGCCCCAAGTCCCTTCGGGGAGATGTAGGTGAGGTACAATAATAAAAATATTATTATAAATGGCATTAATTTTACAGTGTTGGTAAACCCTTATCACATGTCAGCCCATTGAGGCCAGTTGAGTACAGCATTGAGCTGTTTGTATTAATATATAAAACCAGAATTGATAGACTAAGAAATAGCAATATCGTTTTCTGCTTAGCAAATTAGGGACTTGTTTATGGACTGCGTTCTAAAGTTTATTGTCCTTTAATACAGAGGCAAATGCTTACGTGATGAGACCATCTAGTTCAATTTCGAATGTTGCTTCTTTTGTAAAAAGCCTGAATGCCCGATTACAGTAATCTTTTATCTTGCATCATTATCATTATTACACAATTACAAAAGCGTGTGTGTAACATGTAAATACCTACAAGCACCAGATCCTCTCTGATCATGGAAGCGTAACAGATATGGCCCTGTTTGTTATTATGTATATCTATACCCTGCTTTTTTTCTCCCTACGGAGACTCAAAGCAGCTGGTTAGTACTTGGATGGGATGCCACCAATAAATACCAGGTGCTATAGGTTGTATTTCAGATGAAGGAATTGGGAAAATGACATCTAAAAATTCCTGGTCTGAAAGAACCCTAAGAAGTTAATGGGGTGACAGTAGGTGACTTGAAGGCACACACACAAAGCCCAAGACTTGACTTCCTACCCCCCCCCAAAAAAAAACCCCACCTACAAATGAAATGACTGTTTTTGTTTTGTAAGCATCTTGTTTGCATCAAAAACTTTACTATAACAAGTTTTGTTTAAGAGTTGGCAATGAGGACAAAAGTGTTAACTGAACTCCAATGATTAGTGAATACGCTATTCTGAGCCAACATATAAGAGTGTTTTTTAAAAATAATAAATATACAACCTTTTTTTAACACTGCTGTATTTTATAGTTTGTGCAGATCTGATAAGAGGCGCTAAGGAGAAGAACTTAAAAGTGAAAGGACCAGTTCGCATGCCTACCAAGGTATCTTACTTTATACAATTTATAACATATGAATTTGTCATTGGTTTAATAAGGATTTTTTAAAAGATAGGTCTTTGAATTGGGTTTCATATTAGCACTTTGTGTAGTGAACTTATTAGTGATGTCTCAGATGTGGGAGTGAAATAATATGCCTTTTAAGAAGTTTTAGAAGTGTATATCTGCGTTAGACACATGCAGTATGCACCCCACAAACTCATGACAGGAAAATAAGAACAAAGGATTGCAATTCAGTATTGATTGTCAGAGTATTTTTTTTCCTATGCAGTATATGCTGAATAAATTCCAGGAACATTTTAATTCCATGTAAAATATCATAATGAAAACTGCATAGTAATCTACTCTTTTTAATTCATTTACTTTATAGACCCTGCGAATCACTACAAGGAAAACCCCGTGTGGCGAAGGTTCCAAAACCTGGGATCGCTTCCAGATGCGTATTCACAAGCGCCTCATCGATTTGCACAGTCCTTCAGAGATTGTTAAGCAGATCACTTCTATCAGTATTGAGCCTGGTGTAGAAGTTGAAGTTACTATTGCTGATGCTTAAAATGATTTGCACCTGTTTCAATAAAAATTGAGAAGAACTTTTCACCTTTGTTGCTTTGCTTATTGTGTTGTCTTGGAATTAATTGTGAAAAACTTTAAATTTACTACTCTTTATTTGTCACACTTTGAACAAGAAAGCAAAAAAAGATACTGGTAAATATAAGGTGCATCCACACTGCAGAATTAATGCAGTTTGACACCATTTTAACTTAATACTATGAAATACTGAGATTTGTAGTTTGTTGAAGCACCCACACACTTTAGCTATAGGCATTTAAAAATTATAGCTGCCATGATTCCATAGCATTGGGCCATGGCAGTTAAAGTGGGTTAAACTACATTTATTCTGCTGTGTAGATATACCCGTAGGCATAATTGGGGTGGATATCCTAGATCAAATTTCCTCCTATGCTTACAGGGATACATGGAAAATATTTGTGTAAAGGTCCTATAACTACTACAATCAACATTTATTTTATGCATATAATTGCCGAAGATATTTAAAGTAACATAACGGTCCAGGTTGTTCAGATCTCATTTAAGCCTCACCAAAATACAAATCCCAGGATTTGGCATTTTGCCATGACTGTTAAAGGGGTCAAATTGCATTAATTCTGCAGTGCAGATGTATTAGGCACAGCAGGGATTTAAACCCGGGCCTCCAAAGTTATATTCTGTTTATTTACAGTACTTATATTTTGCCCTTCTCAACCCAAAGGGGACTTGGGGCAGATCACAGAACATACACAGCAAACATTCAATGCCGAACAGATAGAGGTATATTTTGGCTCTTTTCTCATTCGGCATCTTTTGGAGGCTGTGCTCAGTTTAGAAACTTTCCTCCAAAACGCCTTCCCCAAATACTTCCCTGCTTAATGTGGTTGGTATTCATCTACTCACATTTCTGTTTTCGATCTAGGTGGGTGGGGGAGCTGGGCTGAAGGTCAGGAGCTCACCCTAACCCGGCTTTGAACTACAGCTGCAGCTGGTGATTAACCTGTTGTGCTAAAGCCATCCCAAATCTAACATTCAAACCACAATAGAAACAAATGGATTGTTTTAAAACCTTAAGGCATAAATATATTCAGGATACAGCACTAAGTTCAGATAAATGATTGACTTAATATAAAACAAGCTTCTTGTGTGTAGCCTATATATTTGTGTATGGTTTAGATTAGTTAATTGCCCTGAAAAAAGAATTTTATGTGAACAGTTGCGTGCAGAAACTCCAGAGTTTAAAAAAATACAATTCTTGTGATGTAATTGGGATTGATCAGTTAGTTCCTGTATGTATTTCATTATTGTTTTGGATTCACAATAGTCTATTAGATAGCAGTTCTTGCCCATTCAGAAACTGCTGATTAGAAACTGCTGTTTAAAAAGTGCTTTTCAGGTTTGCTAGTTGAAGAAAGGTCGAAAAAGTAATCAAATATTAATTTCCATTGACTGTTTCTAAGTTATTGCTGCTACAAACAGAATGACTAGTATTTTTGTACTGTAGTACCAATAGTTTAGAATCAGTGTTATTGAATGGATGCCATTGCTAATAATAAGAAATGAAAGAGTTACGGTCCAGATATATCAAGCTCAGAGTTTCCACAAGAGGTCGCTAAAGGATTTAAAAAATGGGAGGGAAACTTAAAACCCTGGAAATATTTCTATACAGCATTTCTTGAACTCTGGACATTATTTCAAGAGTTCTTACAGGGGAAAAGGTAGGAAGTCTGCCCTAGAAGGTCACATGCCCTCGTTACGTGCAGTGTATCAACCTAGCTTGCTACTGCTTTCATAATTATGCTACAGTACAACAACAAGAGAAAGGTTTCACATTAGGTTTCCAATTAATTGATCTTGCCAAAAATGCAGGATCTTCCACTAACAAAAGAGCAGTAGAAGTGACAAATGGCAACCAGTAACTTCTGCCTCCTGTATGCATATGCCGCTGTAAATGGAGAATGGGATAGACCGCTAATATATGCCCCCAATGATTCTTTGAGTGCATCTACACTATATAATTAATGCAGTTTAACACCACTATAGGTCCATGCTATGGAATCACGGGACTTGTAGTTTTGCACTCTTTGGCAGAAAGGACCTTATAAAACTACAATTCCCAGGATTTTGTAGCATTCAACCAGGGCAGTTAAAGTGATGTCAAACTTCACTTAATTTCAGTTGCCATACATGGATGGAAGGTACTGCAGTTGTTTTCTACTTTTTTGCCAGTACAATTCTTGCTGTTGTGGTCATGTACATAATTATTCTCCTTGTAGGTACAACTATCATGTTGAGATGCTGTATTGTAAAATCTAGTTGTAAATGTAAGATGTTATTAATTGTATTATGTATCTTCTTCAAATAATTCTTAACCCTTTTACACTTCCATAACATATGATAGAGGGTACCTTCCACCTTCCCACATTTCCAACATAAATCTTTCCTGGTTTTATATATTTTAGCTAAGCCCCGTGGAGTTAAAAAACATCAATAGTGAACTTCCTTTATCACTTTTAACCCAAATTTTCTGCCTTGTTGTTGCATGTCCTGCATCTGCCATCTCTACATTGTATGTTTCTAATGTTAACAAAAGTGGGGAGAAGATTACAGCCTTTTTGAGTGGCTCCCCATAAATGTTATTTCCATTGCTCTTGTAATTTACCTTTTAGAGAAACACCAGCAAGTGTGAGTATACACACATATACACACCTTATGCAGCTGCCTAATTGCACACTCACATGGACACGTTTCCATGGACTTCCCAAGCATGTGCTATGCTTTCCCATTGCAATAACATTTGGAGTAACATTGAATTTTGTTACTCCAAAGTAGCTACACTGTTCTCAGTGAAACTGACTCTCAGTTAAATGTGCATAAGATTGCAATTTAGCTCAATCTATTATTGTTTACTCAGAGGTAAGTCTACTGAATGTAATGGGGCTTACTCCTATGGAAGTATTCACAAGGTCTGACTCTAATAGGGATTTCCCCCCCAGTTTTTTTCAGTGGAGCATTTCACTCTTGAAAAATGGCTGGCTCCAATGTCAGCATGGCTCCGTAACATTTTATTATTACATTTCTCCACTTTTCATTGGGTGGAGATGAGAGCTTTAAACCGACTGGGTGATGGTGTTCTTCTGAATCACTTGCAGGATGAGTTAATTGATGGAGTTTAGTACTGATTTCTTTGGCTACACTTGTTAGTTAGTACCTTCAGCCTATAAAACTTCCAAGGGCGGGGCATAGTAGTTTATGCTGGAGTCATAATAAAAGGCAAGGTTCTCTTTTATTTAAAAAAGGCAAGATAGAGAGGAAATATCTCTGCTTATTAATTGTTTTGACAGGAATTTTAACAGGTACGTATGAAGACAGTTTTAAAAGTGCATGATAGAAAAATATATATGTAAGAATGAGGAAGAGCTGCATCCTGCATAGGGAAGTAGAGGGATTGTAGGTTGGTTTTTTTAGATTGTATGTGATTATATATTTACTTACCTCTTTATCCACATCATTTCTATTCCACCTTTCTCTCATGTAATCTTATTGGCAATTAACTGTGCACAGGATTACATTCAGTAAATTGATTTTCTATATAGATACAATGTTATATGGATGTTAGCACTGCAACAAACCATTATCAAAGCTGTAAAAACAAAACGGAAAAAACTGATGGAATAGAGAAGAATTGATATTGCCTGAAATGTTTGGAACCAGAAGTGTTTTGGACTTTGATTTTTCCCCCAGATTTTGAAATACCTATATTTACATACGCATACATAATAAGATATTTTGAAGATAGGGCCCAAATCTAAACATTAAATCCATGTACTGTATATTACACATACAACTTATAGCCTGATAAAGTATTTTTAGTATTTTGGGGCATAAAACAAAGTGAGTGTACATTGAACTGTCAGAAAGCAAAGGTGTCACTATCTCAGCCACCTACGTGAACGATTTGAAGTTTTGGAGTATTTTGGATTTCAGAATTCCAGATAAGGGCTACTTAATTCATACATCTAAAGCGAGTATGAGAAATATGTTTATAGAAGCCAAGAGTAATTTTTTGGTGTTTTGGGGCACTTTTTTAAAAGTACCATAGAACTGGAAGAGACCACAAGGGCCATTCAGTCTAATCCCCTGCCATGGAGGAACACACACCTTTGACAGATGGCCATCCAACTTCTATTTAAAGGAGGAGATTCCAGCATACTCTGAGGCAGCATATTCCACAATCAAAGTACTTGTTTCTTTTAAAGCATTTATTAAATCAACACTAAGGACCTCATCAGACAGGCAGGGGGAAAGCGGAGGGAACTGTCCTACATTCCCTACCATCTTTCCTTGTCTTCTAGGATAGCCTCCCATCCCACATAATTTCCCATTCTTTCCCCCATCCTTTCCTGCTTCCTCTTCATGGTCCTTAATGAAGAGTCAGGTGGTCCAAAGCCACTCTGTGCTCTGTTTCTCCCCACTTCCAAAATGGATCTCCATGGAATCCCGCTGGAAGTTGCCCTGTATCATGTGATGAGCTCTGTGGGACTCTGTTTCGGCAACGTGGAGAATATGGGAGAAGACACAGAGGAGACTGTGTCTGGTAGTTGAAGATGTTGTTTAATGGGTCAAAAGCACTATCTACACACATTTCCTCTTCTAAATTGTGGGAAAAGTAAAAGTATTTGTTACGGATTGGCTTAAAAGTACATGAGCAGAGTCATTCTTCTAAATGCTGAATAGGTACTCCTTTGAAGCCCATATCCCATTTCAAGCATCTGGTTCTTATTCTGTAGGTCTCAATGAATTATTTTTGTCTCTAGTATTACAGTATATGGTGTTCTGCAACTGTAAAATTAAGAGCAACTCACTGAACATCAAAGGTTCTAAATTTATGAGTATTAAAACATTGGGTTGGATCCTGAGGAAGCTGACAGACTTTAACGCTAATTGAAGTCAATTGGGTTTTACATCATGGTAATACTAATTAATTTTTCTTAATACTCTCAGTGGTGGCACATGAAATGGCAAAGTCAATGTCTCATGATGTTTTACCTTCACCCATGGAGTTGTCAGAAACATCCCACAGTGAACAGCATCAGGAAATGCAGGTAGGCAACATACTACTTAAACATGGCTTCATATTGCCTAAGTATAAAAGTAGTATGAAAAATAAACTCTTCCATTCAAATAGTAGTCTTTGTACAAAAACTGAAAATGCAATTGCGTTGTAATTAATATCTGCAAAAAGCAATAGCATTACAATCCTGCACATGTCCAATTTGATGTGTGCCTTTTTGAACACAGTGGGCTTTACTTTTGAGTAACATACATAGGAGTCTGCTGTAAATAGACTAAATGTGTCTGGGTGTTTAAAGTCCAAATGAGACCACAGGAGACCTAAAAGAAATCCAGCAGAATTGTTGCCCATGGTCTCAAGGAGATGGCATGACATTTTAGTGGGGGGAAGATAGTTTTAAAAATTCAGGATGAATGGCAGGAACTGTTTCAGAACTCCAAAGTGCAATAGCAAGCCTACATGGCCCTCAAAACCTCCATGGTTGCTTGTCTCTGCTTTCAGAGAAGGAACTTTTGAAAATGGAGGAATAATCTTTCAGAGAAAAGACCGGAGAGAGAAGGAAGACAAGTAACAGGATACTGAAGAAAGGAAATATTGAATTGCAGTGATGCACAACCGTAAGAGTCCTCTTTAATGCTCTCATCCTTTATTTTATTTTTAAGGAGAGATACCAGCCTCTGAAAGTGTATCTGAGAGTGCGACCTTTTTCAAAGGCAGAACTTGAAAATGATGAAAACCAGGTTAGTTATGGGACGTGAGTGTTTTTTCTGATGTGAGACAGGGGTCAGCTGAATTTGCATAATTAATCTCTCATCACAAAGACTTTGGAACTAAATCTGCTGTCTTTGGAACTAAATCTGCTGTCGAAGATGAAGAGATAAAACTACCAAAGCTGGTAATTTTTACAGTTCCCATCAGTCCTAAACAGAGTGGCTGGTTGTCAATTATGATGAGAAATGTCACCCAAAAGGTCTGGAGGGTCATGGGTTGCTTCTTCCTGGCTGAGGCTTTTAGAAGGCCATAGTTCCCTATTCAAGTGAGGGAGAATATTTAAGAAAAATGTTCTGTCAGAGAAGATAACTTCTGCAGTAAAGTTTAAAATGGTATATCATACCAAAATGTGTCTTGTACAGCCAGCACACAATGGGAGCCCCCGGTGGCGCAGTGGGTTAAACCCTTGTGCAAGCAGGACTGAAGACCGACAGGTCGCAGGTTTGAATCCGGGGAGAGCGCAGATGAGCTCCCTCTATCAACTCCAGCTCCTCATGTAGGGACATGAGAGAAGTTTCCCACAAAGATGGTAACATCAGAACATCTGGGCATCCCCTGGGCAATGTCCTTGCAGACAGCCAATTCTCTCACACCAGAAGCGACTTGCAGTTTCTCAAGTTGCTCTTGACATGACCAAAAAGAAAAAAGAAAGAAAGAAAGAAGAAGCACACAATGAAGTTTAGGAACTGCATAATCAATTTAAGGCACATAAATATTGGAAGATGTAAAATAGTTTTGCAATTTGAAATCTAAGAATTCTTTAGGAAATGTACTACAATAATTCATTTTCTGTTAAGGGTTGTTTAATTATTGAAAATGAAGAGACAGTAACTTTTCAAGCACCTAAAGAATCAGCTGCAATGAGGAACAGTGACAAAGGGATTGGACAATCTGCACACCAGTTCACTTTCACACAAGTAAGTTCCCTTTCTTACTATTGAGGACTTTTAAAAAAAGTCACTTGTGGTACTCTATAAAGACCCTTTGTACTGTATAAGTTTATATATGGAAAAAGTAAAATCTTTCGAAACAGCTTCTTTCCAGTTACATTGAACAGAACTTCAGTCTTCTAAATGTACAAGGGCAACCTTTTGTTATTGTTATTTCCACTATTACTATTCTTGTATGTGAACGGGGAAGAAGTCAAAAGTTTTATCCCCTTTCGGAATTATTATGAGTACTTCATTCAATTTGCATTCACTTTTAATGTTTTAGAGCTTCTTTTGTAAAAAAACAAAACTTTTTAGATATTGCTGCTGTTGACAAAAGAAGTATTGGTCTTTCCCTCTGGAAAAGAATATATTGTGGCAACTGACAATTAAACATAACACACAATAAACAAAGCAATCAAATAATTAAGCAAAATAACAGCAACAATGACATGTAATTATGACATGTAATTATTGAAGGAATGATGTTAATCTTTTCCTCAAACACCAAGCTATCAATTTGTGTTGGCATATCAGACAATTATATTTTTTTCTCCAAAACTTTTAAGATCCTACTCTCCCACTTCCTCTATTAGGTTTTTGGACCAGATACTTCTCAACATGATTTTTTTGAAGGTACCATGAGCGAGATAGTAAAAGCTTACATTGATGGGATGAATGGACTTGTGTTCGCCTACGGTGTTACAAATTCGGGCAAAAGTTTCACCATGCAAGGTATACTTTTTTCATTGGAAGGAAAAATGCAATATTTAGGTGAAAGTGGCAGATAATGCCATTGAGACCATTGTTTCGATAGGTTGTCCAAAAGATGGTGGCATCCTTCCTCGTTCTCTTGACATGATCTTTAACCATATCAAAGGAAGACAATATACAAAGATGAACTTAAAACCGTGCTTCAGTAATACGATCAAAGAGCTCAATGATATTCAGGTGAAGCAAGAAGAATCCATAAAAGCTGTACTTTTTGCTTCTTTGAAAGAGGTCAGTAGGAAATATTCTCTTTTATTTTTCTTTGATTTTACCACCTATTAAAAGCAGAGCTTGGAGAAGTTTTTTGGGGCCACACCTTGGCACTTGGATTGCTAAACAGAGGATTATGGGAGTTGTAGTCCAAAAGAAGTAGTGTTTCCAAACTACAATTAAAAGTTACATAATGAGAGAGAACACCCCTTGGAAAATTTATGTTGATCTTTGAATGCTAATGTAGAAAAGTGGTGACTGGCAAGAAGAATTCGTGACTGGAAGACAATATTCAAACCTGACCTTTTCAACCAATTTTTCCCTACAAATGAACCTAACTGTCCTGGTACTAATGGCAGACATGGAAAGGTTCCACCAACATTTGTCATTGCTTTTCTGCAAACACTTGTTGTGTATTCCTGTAAGTACTTCTACTTTTCACTCTTCAATAAGCAACTAAAATATGCAAGTGCTCATACAGAGCAGCAATCTCTTGCTACACGATACTACAGATATTGTATGAGCATTTGTATATTTGTACCATATCCAATCACACATTGTGGCTGAATATATTTGGGGAAATCTCGTGTTCGATTGCCTTTGCAGATTGAAAATGTTTGCATATGTCTTATAAAATGCCCTAAAGTTTTGTTGGTTTTATTTGAATACTTGAGCCCTAATCCTAATCATTTACCAGTATTTGTAAATTCTCATGTTCCTGTAGTAGGAAAATTCCTATGTCTTTTTAAGTACAGAGTTGAAGCTACTGTAAAATGTATCAGATGTCTTGCAGTTTCTTCAGTATTCTTAGAAAAATGCCTGTATTGATATAACTAGGACAATCATTTGAAAATTATAATGAATTAGAAACTAGATTTGTGGGTAAAAGATCTAATTGACACAGATCTTACGTCTTACAGAACATAAGTGTGCAGAAAAACACTATAAGGAAATTCTTATGGACTTTTTATTGTTTATTTAGGAGGCAGAAAGTACTTGGCAGACTTTGGATGCATCTGACATGACTTCTGGTAGCTGTAATTCACCAGCTTTTGCTTCAGACCTTTTAGGTAATTTATTATTTTTTTAAAAAATGACAAGACTTCTGCTGTCATAAAGCCCAGTATTCAAATGCATAAAATGATGGATTGATTTCTGTAACAAAGAAGGGAAAGACTGGTGAAAGCACAAAAAAATCTTTGCACCACAGTGCTCGAAGAATCTTGGAATTGAATGCTAATCACTAATCCACAGAAAGACATCAGTATTTTTAGAATGTAGACTCAACCAAATAAAATAAGAGAAAACTGTTGAGTGATCTTTGCTGTGTTCTTTTTAAGTACTAAACAGTTGATTAATTATTTCCTTTGCTGTTCCTTCAAATTTGGTGGACAGGCCCAAAATTTGTGGGTGCTCAGCACTTGGACAAGTGTCAGAGAACCCTGGCATCTGTATGGGTTTCGTTTTTTGAAATCTACAATGAATATATTTATGATCTACTGGATGTATTGCCAGCATTGAAAAGTCAGAAGCGCAAAATTTTAAGGATTTGTGAAGATCAGGGAGGAAATTCCTATATTAAAGGTAACACTCTTTGTATTGCTAGCTGTTTGATGGAATTATAATTTATTGAATCAAAGAACAAATTTAAATAACTTCCTTCACTGCGTTATTGTTCTTGGACTAGTGTCCATTGTAGATGTACAAGAAAGTTCTTGACTTGCAATGGGCATTCTACTTATGCTTTTTCCCATGTTCAATTCATTTATATTGAATTATAGGTTTGTTGTTGTTAACAGTTATCAAATCAGCTTCAAAATATGGTGAACCTATGAATGAGAGACTTTCAAGTTACTCTGCCATCGACAGCTCAAAAAGCCTTATGAAATTCACAGGGTCACCATAAGCCAACAGGCAGCCTGAAGGCTCATAGACACACTCAATGCAATATGTATGTGCTAACATTTGCATCTCTTCTAGTAAGAACTACTTTGGAAATTAAGAATACCTAATATGTACAAATTATTTTCCATGTCTTTTCCCCCTCATTATTGTGAGTTTAATATGAAATCCTTCAGAATCTGATATTGAATAAACAGTGAATTGTGCTGTTTTTTGGATTGCATACAATTAAAACAAATCCCCCTTATTTTACAGAATATTTAACTTGTTTACCATAACTAGTTTAAGATAGCTTTCAAATACAAACAAAAACAAATATGAAAAACTGTCATTAAAAAAAAAACCTGAACTGTTCCTGTTGTAGAAGCTGCTCATTGCTTACTCTCTGCTACATTTTGCCAAATGTTTACTCCCAGTCTTATAGTGGCAATGTAGTTCTCCATATATTGTTAGATTACATTTGCCATCGTCTCCCTGGCTGAGTTTGCTGCAGTTTTAGTCCAACAAGATTTGGAGGGCTGTGCAGCATCTGGATGATGCATATAGAGAGCCTCTTCTATTAGTTCTGCTGAGAGATCCATTATTTTAAGGCTGTGGTTCTCAACCTGTGGGTTCCCATGTGTTTTGGCCTACAACTCCCAGAAATCCCAGCCAGTTTACCAGCTGTTAGGATTTCTGGGATTTGAAGACTAAAACATCTGGGGGCCCAAACTTTGAGAACCATTGCTTTAAGAACTAGTGTCTGCAGGCCACTTTAAGCCAACATTTGCCCTAGTTAGGCATTGTAGTAAGGTTTTCAGCCTTTCAGTCTTGTTAAAGTTAGTCTCAGGGTAGTGGGGAACGATCCAGATCAGTACCCTGGTAGGATGGTTTCCACCATTGGCATCAGCTGCAGTGCCAATTCAGATTGGGAAATCAGTGTATGCCATAGTCAGCTTTCTGTGTGCATGGCTTCAACCATCTAGGACTTGAAAATATTCAAAAATATTACAAAATGCAATCCTTGATGTTGCCATTTTATTTAAGACATGTTTTATATAAGACACAATTTTACTATGCCATTGTATAGAAAGTGACTTAAGCTTCTACAAATTTTGGTATTTATACTGGGGTCCTGGAACCAAACCCCAGTGGATACCAAGAGCCCTCTATATTCGCATGGAGGAAGGATTGAATTTTTACTAGCAAATAACAGGTGTTTTGAGAAACTGAGAGCTCGGCCTCAACAAATTGCAAAGGATTTTAACCCACTAATGCTATGCTTGTCTGAATTGGCTCATTATACCAGGTTCCCCCCCCCCCCCAAAAAAAGTCTGAACCCATGACTAATGTATCCAACTTGACCTACTTGCTTTTTTCCTCACTGTTTATTTTTTTTCTCTTTTGTTTCTTACATTGTTTGCCAATAATCATGTAGTATCTTTGTTTTATTGGACTTTCATATACCCTTCTGGAAGCTTTGAAGTCAACATTCTTAATGTAAACAAATACATTTTCATGCATGCCAAGAATAAAAACAGTGTATTGGACTTTATCAGTGTTTCCTTAAGAGACCATAACATTCCTGTCCTATCAATCATTTTAGGCTCCTCTAGACATGAAAAATGTGTCAGGAATGTGTGCTATTTTTTGCTTTAATTCTCATATTTTTAACATGAAAAAGCATTTCTATTACTGGGAATTTCCTTACCAACAGCATTATTTATTCCCACTCTGAAGTGTTTTTTTAATTCGAAGAAGTATCAGAGGGACATGTTATCATTTGTTTTTATTTTTCTTTAGAATTTTCAGTGAAATAGCACTTTTGTGTGATAATTCTATAATTCTTTCGAAATGAGAGAAGAGATAGATAGATAGATAGATAGATAGATAGATAGATAGATAGATAGATAGAATAAATTTGCTCTAGTGGGACTACCTAAGCAATCTTTGAAAACCCATAATATAAATCCAAGAAATTGCTGCAAATGGTATCAACAAGTAATGGAATGAGTGGAATCAGAGGTAACAGCAATAGACAAAACCTAGGAAATAATATCATGAAAACTCATACTCATTCAGATCGAGCTGGAATATCCCTTTGTTGTAATTTTGGTGTCCCTGACTTCGGTTTCTCCTCGACATAATCTTTGGGTCTTCCCAGGTATGAGAATGGTCCATGTTTGAGATTAGTGTTTTATTAATAAGATTCAGCACATGAGGAGTTTTGAACTCAGTGGGACTGGACTTTGGGTAGACAAGACATACAGGGCCGTAACCAGAAAAATTTTTTGGGAGGGGTTGAAATTGGGGGGGGGGTGAAATTTCGGGGGGGGGGGGGGTTGAAACCTGCCTCCTAGCTCACGCTGAAGCAAAGAGCACAGCAGGGGGCAGAGCAGCCTTCAATAGCCTGCAGCTCCGCCCCTGTCAACCACCTCCACCAAGACTGGCCTCCTTAATGAGAGCATTCAACACACACACACCCAACTTGGTTGCTTCGCTACATCAGCTATTGCTGCAAGTAATGACAGTGTGAATAAATTGTCAATATTTGCTTGAGATACTGCTTGCAGTTCTGGAGGGACTCTTAATTTTTTGCATCTCATAGACTTAGCATGGGAATTTGGTTAACCAGTTAAAATTCATGAGTAAACCAGTTTTTAAAAAAAATCTGAAACATTTCGGGGGGGGTTGAACCCCTAACCCCCCCCCCCTCGCTACAGGCCTGAAGACATATATAGGACCCTGTAAAATATGCAACAGGAACATTTAAAAATGTCTTGCTTTAATAATCATCCTTTTAAAAGTTCTAAATATTCTAACTTTTATAAAATATTTTCTTTTCCCAGACCTAAAGTGGATCAACATAAAGAATCCTGATGAGGCTTGTAAAATACTTAAAATAGGAAATAAGAACAAAAGCTTGGCATGTACTCGGATGAATCAGCAATCGAGCAGAAGGTTTGCTGCCTTTAATTATAGAGATGTCCCTCCTCTTTGAAGCTAATGATGTTAGTAATGCCACAATCTAGAAAAGTCATTATAGGACTTTTCAGTTTGTTTCATGCAAACAGCTGCCCTGATACCACAAGGCACATATTTGTGTACACTGTAAATGGCAAACATTTTTGAATATTTCAAAATGTCGGTATCTTGATATAATTCTGTATTCTTTATTGTGGTTTTTACATACATGGCTTAAAAATCAATTGGATAAAGAAAAAATAGAAAAAAGAAGAAAAAGGAAAATAGTGTATATTCTAGGAAAAAAGGAATAGAAAAAGGAGAAAGAAAAGAACCAAAAAAAGAAAAAAATGTATCTTGATATAATTCTTGATTAAGTCCAATACATGTTTGGATGAATCACTTAACAACTCCTTCAGTCAAAAACCAGTGAACATAACACAAAGTACATAAATAACATCATAAAACTTAAATGTGTGATTGGTTTTTTTGTTTGTTTTTGCCAGTCATAGCATATTTTCTATCCGACTGCTCAGCTTGAGTGATGAGGATGTGCCAAATATTCTTGGAGTCTCTGAGTAAGTATCTTTACAATTCTGCTGAATGTACCACACAATACATGCCATGCACAAGTTCCACTTGGTTGTGAAATTCTAACAAAAATTGCTAAGGACACAGGGCACATCTGGACTTACCAGTTATACCAAAAAGCGGGGTGGAAGGACACTCCACCCTGTGACACCTACGTGGCACATGGGTACTGATATTGATTAACATGCTTTGAAATGCATTAACAAAAGCAGAGATTTGCTCCAAATTCTTCCTGAGAACCTGGAGCAAACAACAACTTTGGGCCCACATACTTCTGTGACAGAACCAACCACAACATCATATATTCCCTGGCTTTTGGGTGGCCTTATGATATGGCCACCATACCCCTTCTGTTCTCATCAGCAAACACGGTGTGGTTTGTAAGTTACTTGTTGCCTTGAGTAATGGCAGTTGGGGCACAAGAGCGGAGAAAGGGGAAGGGATAGGAGGAGGTGGTGATTCAGTCCCTTCCCTCTTGGTTGATGTCACTAGTCATGTTGTACCTAATGGCCACTGCTACAACATGAATGGGAGGGGACATTAAGCGAGGCTGTATGGTGGTGCTCCATTTGGTTTGGCACTACTAGATAGTCAGGATTCTTTTTTGCCTCTGCATTAGCCAGGAATTATCTGTCTCAGTCTTCCAGCGGGATGTTGTGACATGATTCTGGCCTCCTCAGAGAGTGGCCTTTATTTAAAAAAGAACAACCTAGAATTTAACTCAAAACTTAAAAGCTGGTATCTCATGAACTTACAATAATACCAGTGTAGGAGAATGTGTTGGGTGCGATGTGTGTGTTTGTGTGATACAAACAATGTCTTGAGGTCTTCAAAATGACCTTGGGTATCCTAGGTGGCTTGCTGCAGTTTTCGCACTCATATAGTGTAGTGCCTCTAAAATTTTGATCCTGAAGATGTTTGAGACTTAAACTGCCAAAATTTGCAATCATTTCTGTGAGTGGAAGTCTTAGATATCTAAAAGATGAAAGTTATAAAACTGCTTTATGCAAATTTTTGTGTAAAACACCAATGTGAATGGAATGCTGTTATCAGAAAGTTCTTGGTAAATATATCTGTACTATGTTTCTGATTCTGCCTTTCTAATTGTAGTGAATTTCATTAACCACCAGGTAGGATCAGTACTGAAATCAATGGAAGCACCTTTACCTAAAGATGGAATTTAAGAATGTTGCATTGGATCAGTCAGACTGAGTCTATTCTAAGACTAGATCAAACATTTTTTTTCCTTCACTTCACAGTTTCCAAGGATGCTGAAAAGTGATGTGCCACTTGGGCATTTTAGCTGTGTTCATAAAAAATACCCAGTTAAATCAGTCTATTTACAATTGACCAAAAATCAACTGTACTTATTACTTTGAACAGACTTTCTCTTTGTGACTTGGCTGGGTCAGAACGATGTCATAAAACCCAAACCTTTGGAGACAGACTTAAAGAAGCAGGGAATATTAATAATTCTCTTCTCATTCTTGGAAAGTGCATTGCAGCTCTGAAACAAAATCAGAATCCAAAGTAAGTGACCAATGCCATTAGTGAAGTTTAACATTGTTAATTAACTTTATTTTTCATCTTCCCATAGCAGCAAGAAATCCAAGGGCAAGGATCCAGGCTTTTTTTGAATATAAAAGTACTGGAAAATCATATCTTGTGGCACATATCTAAATATATATAGTTCAATTTCTGTCTGGAAAACATGGTGAAAGTAAGCATATGAGCAGCAGACAACAAAGCCAACAGCAGATTGCTAAACTATCTACACAGGCATCAGGGGAAGGAACAATGGGGCCCTCAAAATTGAATTCCCAGTATCTCTCATCATTGGTTGTTGATAGGGCTGATGGGATTGGTACTGCAACCGCATCTGGAGGACCACCTGATTTCCACCCCAATATACATCAAGATGTGTACTTCACCCTTAAACTGCACACAACTTCAATCTTCTCCCCACTTCTCTACTATTCTCTACTTCTAGTTTCCCACACCCAATTCCAAGGAATTGCCACCTCAAGCTCAAATAAATGTTGCATTTCAAAACATAATTCTGTCAGCAAAAAATATCAATTCTTAAGCTGCCACCACTAAAAGATCACCAAATAATTCTAGATGTTTTACATGTCTAAGAGGCAAGAGAGAGAGGTAAATTATTAGCAACTACTTTATTTATATTGCTACTAGCTTTTCCCAGTCCAAGATTTTTCTTTTAACAATATTTTTTATTGTTTCAGCTTTACAATATCTTGCTTATACTTAGTTTCCATTGGTGTTCATATCTATACAAACTTCATTTCCATGGAACATTGTTTTTATCTGCACCTTCTTTTTATACATCCTTTTCATTAAAAAGTGGGGAAAGGAAAAAAGAAAAACAGGGGGAAAGAAAAGGGAGAAGATAGATGACCTCTGGTCTATCCCAATTTAATCACAAATAAATCTAATATAATACCCTTCACCCCCTAGAGACCTCTCTATACTAACACTTTTCTCATATTTTTCAAAGGCATTATAAGATCTACCTGTTTAGATAGGTCTATGGATCTCAAAAACTCAGTTGTTGTAAGTTTTTCGGTCTGTATAGACATGTTCCAGAAGCATTCTCTCCTGATGTTTCGCCTGCATCTATGGCAGGCATCCTCAGAGGTTGTCAAAAAAACTTACAACAACCCAGTGATTCAGGCCATGAAAGCTTTCGACACTACATCTCAAAAACTAATATCTTAAATTTTGGGGAAACTTTGGCAATTTCATTGCACCCGTTTTATAGGCAGGGTTGATTTGTTATGCCACCCAAAGAAGCTCTAGTTTGGGATTTTTAAAAATGCTATTTGTATGGAAATGTTAGCATTACAGTTGCTGAGAATCTTCTGGCCTTTGCCAGCAGTTTAAGAACTTATTCCTTGGTTACTTTCTTAGCCATTGTGCCATTCTCCTTCCCACCACACACAAACACATGGCCACATTTTTGAGCTTTTTCTCTGAAAGGAATTCTTTGCATTCCAAGTTGGGATTACTACACTCTCAATTTACAGTTGAAAGAAAGAAATGAGAGATGAGAATTTTAATGGAAGTAAAATAACACAGTATAGTTTACTTTTAGAGATCATGGACATTTATTCATATAACTTTCTCTCCAAGATTAAGGGCAGCATATATTCCCTTCCGAGAGAGTAAATTGACACGCTTATTTCAACCCTTCTTCTGCGGTAAAGGCAAAGCTTGCATGATTGTCAACATTAACCAGTGCGCCTCCACATACGATGAGACGCTGAATGTAATGAAATTCTCTGCTATTGCCAAACAAGTAAGAAAGATTCTCTACTCTTCACAATGTACCAGAAGTGCTTTATATTCTGTCACTGTGTCCATCAAATACTGTTTGAGAAAAATTAAGTTTGCATGCTAGTCTTTTGCTGATTGCGCCAACTCCATGCCATGCTAAATACCCCATGCTGTTTAAAATTCCAGTAAAATAAGAATCCAATATTCTCTTTCTTTGTCCAAATTAACATGACACACTTTAGTTCATAATCTTCAGAGATGTGATACTTTAGCTTTTCCTGGGCAAAATGGTGCATGCTCATAAGTCACAATCACAGCGGAAGTGAAACAAAAAATAGAAATGCATTTTTTTGGACTCTGAATTGCTGCTGTCCTTGGGTTTATTGAAATCAGCCTGCTTCATAACATAACTCAAATAACCAAGTACTGGGTTTGCTGCCCTGATGTCCAAATATGCTGTAACTTGGTGACAGAGTATTCTTCAGCTGAGCTTCCCAGATTTAACACTGGTATTTTTGGGTAGGGCTGATGGAAACTCTTGCTTGAGACCATGAGAAGCCACTGTCCATCAATGTAAACAAGGCTTGGGCAAATGAACTAGTGCTAAGCTGGTTGGGAGAAGGAAGTTCCACCTGTTTCTTTGTGTTTGTGTAAATAGAGGTAAGGCATTGGCTTCACAAGAGCCCTTATTTCAATGCTATGGCTAATAGCTCTTAATTGAAAGTTTGTTTACTTTTTAAAGAATATTTTCTTAAATAGATCAGCATGTCAGCCTTAAAAGGAGGACAAACATGCCATTGAACTGCCTCTCAGAAGAATGAGGAAGAATAAGATTTTCATTTGGAAAGCCAAGTAACGAGTACTATTTCCATTTTAAAAAATCTAGTGAAAATTTTGGCTTATCTTGGCTTATCTTGCTTTCAGGGGTTGTAGCCATAATCTGAACTGGAGAATATTTTAGAGAAGAGAAATAAGGGATTAATTTCCAGATTATGTAGGTACATATTAGAGTACAACCTAGAAGATAATTGAATAAAAACAGTAATGATTTTGTGGATTAAAGATTTAGGGTAAAATATTGAGTTAGATAATTGGAAATATTTATGAGAAAGAGGATTTAAATTCTCAATAGCAAGTTTTATTCGAGATAACATGTATAAAATGTTATCACTAACACCTGAGATAATAGCTAAAATAAACAAATCTCACCAGGGAGATTGATGGAGATGTAAAGTACAGAAAAGAACCTTTTTTCATACCTGGTGGACCTGTAAGTTGGCACAAACTTTTGGGGGAAAAGTGATTAAAGAAACAAATAATATGATCACTAAAATGGTTAGAAAAATCCAGAGATGTGCCTCTTGGGGCTATTTGGTGAAAAAAATAGTAAAGAAGACGTAGAAATATATCAATACAGTTTTATTGCAGCCAGAATAATAATCACAAAATCTTGGAAAGGAGAAAAGGAACTATTGCTAAAGGACTGGAGAGAAAAAAAAATAGAATATATCCAAATGGTCAAGTTATCCAATGACATATGGGGAGGAAGCAATGAAGATTTTGTTAAGAAATGGAGGCTTACATTTGGATATCTAGAAAAGAAGACTAAATAGATTTTAAAGTAGTCACAAGGGGAAATTATTAATGTAGGAAAAGTGTAGGGTTTTTTTTTAGACATTAGTTTTACACTTAGTGGTTCACGGATGGGCAAGAGGTGGGTGGTTTGAAGGAATGGCATACCTGTATTATGCATATTTGATTATCTTTAAAAAAATTCTCATGTTCCGTATGCCATTAATTCACTTAATAAAAACTGTCTGATGGTATTGTCAGTCTTGTATCACCGAATAAATACCATCCACAACTTATAAAATTCCCTTTTACCAAGCATGAATGGCAGGGTATTGGAATAGATGGCTCATGCAGTCTCTTCCAACTCTATGATTCTATGATTTTGTGGCCTTCCAGGACCACACAACCTGAAGTTAAAATTCAAGGAGAAACTGCTAATTGTGTTTTTTATGTTTAACCACTTTCCTTTTTTTCTTTACTTTTATCAGGTTATTCAGACATTTCAACACAAAATGTTTGATTATTTCCCCAAAAAGCATTTTGGGAGGGAGGGGAATTCTGCAGTACACTTTGACGACATAGCTAGTGAGCAGCTGCCAGAAGATACGGGCATATCCTTCTTTGAAGCAGAAGAAGAAATAGATATTACTATTCTGAGCCATGAGGTAATTTCAAACTCTGTTGATTTCTCATTGACCAATATTTCATCCCTTTACTTAAAAAGAATTAACTAATTCAATAGGCTAAGCAGTAAGGGAATAATATTTAAATCAGTTTAGCAAACAGATAGATATTGGTAGCTAGACTATGTTTAGTAGAAGTGTTTATTCAGTTGCATAACAAAGTTCTCATATATTTGAGATACTATATCATTTTTTAATAAAACTTTAATACAGGAGCAGATGGCTGTGAGGATGGCAAAAACTAGGTTTTTTAGCCACAATCTTCCTATGGTACATGTCTGGCACACCAAAAGTGACATTATGTTACTTCTAGTTGCCATTTTTGGTTACTGTTGGCTGGCGTTTGTGTGTAGCGAGGTTCTGGGATGCACAAGCTAAACTGATAATGTTCGATACCTTAGGAACCATTCTGGGATTTTTAAAAAGTACCCAGAAGGCTCCTGATTTTTTTTTACTTTGAATTATTTTGCTCTCTCTTTACCAGATTTTGCCCACTCCTTCTTTAAGGAGGGGGAGTTATAGTTTATGTGCCATCTATGGCTGGCTCCCATTCTTTATTTTCATGTTGTTCTACATTTGGCTCATGGTCTCTTGAAACCTACAGGACCTATTGAAAACGACAGAGATCTTAAAAGATAAACTGATTGCAGAAAGACAGAGTAAACTACAACTTGAAGTGCAAATACGCAAAGAGATGGCTGAAGCAATGTTTCAACAACTGATGGAAACAGAAAAAGCATGGAGGTAAGTTTTGTGACCGCGTAGTGACAAGGGTCAAAATGGCCACAAGCATCTACTTCAGATAATACTTGATAAACATCAATTCTATATAGATTTTTAGAATAGAATAGTATTGGAACCCAAACAGGCTTCTGGTCTTTCATGAGACTTGTTTTGTGTATGACTATTTCAAAGCAATTATCTGGAAGCTGTCTTATTGTTTCTGACATCTTGTTATAGCTTTCTAGCTCATTGTTTAAACATGAATGAATTTCTACATGTCAAAATATCTAATACTGAGGGTCCCATATGGGGTTTTATATGCCAGAAAGGAATGGATATCCAAGGGGGCTCAGGCAGCAACTCAATTGCTATGTGGAAAATGTATGTGACAAACTGTAGAGCATGTATGATGATACTGATTGTTCGGAAATGTGATAATTGGTAGCAGAACTCTCAAGCAAAATAATCCAGTTGGCAAGCCAGAACCTGGACAACAAATAGTCCCAAGCCCATTCACCCACAAGATCCAGTAGAGGGAAAAGGAACAAGTTTAATCTTCTTTGTCAAGCATATAAAATTAGAATTGGTGCATAATAAAATACATGATCTAATAGAAGATGGAGAAAAATGACTGTAAATTACAGTAATGTGGCAAAAAGGGTGGGTATGTTATGTCAAATAAACAAGCAAAAACCAAAACAAAATAGAAGGATACTATAAATGTGTGTTTAGAGTCCAATTAAGTAACATTCAAACTAGAGATGAAAACCAGTCCAGTCTTAAGTGTAATGCTAGATTTATTTTTTGCTTCCCTTTCCCCCCTTTATATCCTAATGCAGTAAACGCTTAGAAGATCTGAAAGAATGTTATGAAGAAAAACTGGAAAGTAAATTTGAAATGTACAAGGAGGCCATAAAGAAGCATGCGTATATGTCTGCAATGCAGCAAATTGAGGAACATTATGTTCCAATAGAAGAGTTTCTAGCTGAACAAGCCAAAGTTGAGGTATGTCTTACCTTAATGCCTTCTTTGCAAATAGCCTTCTTTCAGAGACGTTATCACCAATTTTGATAAAATGTAAATCTTGAAAATAGAAAACGTAAATGTTGATGTGTTGTTGTTTTGAAGAAGCTGGTAGATTTAAAATAATGTAAAAGTAAGATTTCACGGATGCACTACAGTTATAATGAAAAGTTCCACTTCATTGATCAAATGGATCAGTGTAACTGTAATAAAAATAAAGAACATCCAAGCACTAAAAACAAAAAAATTAATAAAAGAGAAGACAAAGAACATATTGTCCTGACTTGTCTTATCAGACAAATAAGAAACCCATTTGAGAGTGTGAATAATAAATATGTTGTAGTAGATGCCACGAATCGCCAAAAAAGCCCACTAAAATCTAAAAAGCTGATGAAGTTTCTTTAAAATTGGTGCAGACTGTAGAGAAACATGTGACATATGATATCTTTTTGACAGTGCTTCATTTTCTAAGGAAAATGTCATTAAGAACACATCACTTATACAGATCTTAGAGGACAGAATGGTGAGGGAAAAGTAGCTGTTTTAATCACTACAAAGTGGGTTTCGGTGGGGTAAAAATGCACTCGTAAAAAAAATTCAAAATATTATAGTTTATTCCATTGCTTAGGACAGAGACATGAGAATAATGCAGATGGAACTAAAACTTGGAGAACAAAAGTGTTTGCCTTCCAAAAATCCTAAATCAAACACTACAGAAGGAGAATTTAATTCAGGTAAGAAAAAAATTCTATATTCATTATTTTAACTGTTCTCCGGAATGTGGCCTAGATATTTTTTTTTATCTTTGTTGCACACAGATATTAAATCCAAGGCAATGCAGAGAGCTTTGGAGGTTTTACAGAAGCAGTGTGAAGAAAAGGATGAGGTAATTTTAATTTATCTGCATATTAACTTGGTGAGTTTGTTGCATCTTATAACAGCGTGTATGTATGCATATCTATATAATTCCATTCTTGTGGGTCAGGAAAGAAACACAGTGGTATACTGCAGAGTTTTACTGATGTAAAAGTTTCGGAAAAGAAAGAAATGGAAAAAAAACTTGTCTCCCTAGATATACTTCTTGTGTTTTAGGGAGTACAATCAGTTTATACTCATGGGAGAATAAGTACAGTATTGCAATGGTGTAGACTTTATGTGTTTTTAAGGTAATGTATTGTGTTTAGTAGTTTGTTTACAAACATTTTTTCTATTTCTCCTCTAAATTGCAAGTTGTAGTTATTCCAACAGCTTTATCAATTGATGTTTATATATAATGTAACTGGAAACTTGTTTTGCAGTTAATTAAATCACTGAAGTTGAAAATACAAAAATCAAATGAAATGTTGCAAGAAGCAAACACTGCCTACAGAAAAGCAGGAGAGGAGAATAATAGCTTGAAGCAGAAGTTAATCCTTAAGGTTGGTTGCAAGTGTAATACACTTGTAGAGTTATTTGCATCTCTTCTACTTTGCGAGGCTCTTGTTAACGGTCCTGTATCTCTTGGCAATGATTAATGAGTTCAAAATGATGACCAGGACTGTGCAACAGATCTGGCAGAATGCTGAAGTGGATTGTGCCAATTAAGATTGGATTAATTGGAGACTGCCACTTCTAATGTCTGATTTGTTTCCACTTATCCTCTTGTGTAAGGCCTCCTGGTGGCACAGCAGGTTAAGCTGCTGAGGCGCCGAACTTTGTTTGAATCCAGAGAGCGGGGTGAGTAGATCAATAGGTACTACTTCTGTGGGAAGGTAACAACACTTCATGCAGTCATGCCAGCCACAGACAACAGCGGCTCTGTGGCTTAGAAATGGAGATGAGCACCCCCCCCCCCCGAGTTGGACATGACTAGACAATGTCAGGGGAAACCTTTACATTTACTATCCTCTTGCTGACATATCTGTTTATTCAATGTAGAGTGAGGGACACTGCTGGTATAGGCTACCCTGTATCACATTGGAGGAAATGCACATGAATGCATCTTGAATGTTGTGAATCATTTTAATGGCTCCTGTAATATTGCATTCAGAGTAGATGTGGAGACAGATGGTCAAAGCTTGCGGTAAGGTCTTGTTCCTGTATTTCCAGGGCATGTGAGTAAATACTTGTTTGGATTTCCTGTAGACCAGCAAAGGTCTGTCTGTTAGAACTTTTGAGAGAGCTGTGTTATTCTCCAGAATGGGCTGTAACCCATGGATGATATCGAGTATTTAATATCATTCTGTAGTGCATCTGAAGAAGTGGGTTTATATTAAAGAAAGTCTGTGTTAACATAAAAACCAAGGCTTAGAGGTGCTGCCTGCCACGTTGCTTTTTTCCTCCTACTCCTTTCCTCCTTTTTATGCTGCAAGAAGGTAAGGATTTTATCACTAGGTTTGTGAAGTGAAAATACCATGTGATATTGTAATATCACCACACAATGTCATGTCAGTTCTGTATCAGCTTAGTATCCCACCTGTTCCTGGAGCTCCCCTTTTTAATTGACAGGTAAAACCCACCAATATCTCCCAATCATGCACTTTTCCACAATGCATTTGCTTGTCAAAATTACTTCTATTTCATTTCAATTTCTTAGAATCATGTTTATCCACATGACACTCTATGTCATGTGGATAAGCATGATTTTTATATTATCACCAGCTGGCTTTACCTCCCTCACTCTCTTCGGTGAGGAGGGTCTCCCATTTCTCCTTTAGTGGAACACTGAGGGATTCACATATGTACTACAGTTACCCATCCTAGTGCAATATATGCAAATAATAGTATGTAGTATTCCAAATAATAAGAAAATCTTGTATTTTGGCTGTGCTCTATTTTTGGAAAAGCTGTTTGGAAAACCATTTATTTAGGATACCTATGTTTATATCAGGTTTGACCAGTCCATTGAATACAGTAAATTCCATGACTCATTCTATTTGTGGTATTTCTTGGATAGGAACTAGAAGTAAAAGGCCTCAAAAACTGGGCTGAACGTGGCCATGAGCTTGAAGCTACAGTGACTCGCCTGCAGGAACAAGTAGAAGAACACAAGAGATGCCTAAACACAGAAGATCTTAAGTACCGGAAAGTCAAGAAAGGCTTCTTTGCCAATCTGAAATAAACCACTACTGATGTTCCTAACACATTCAGAAGTAAAGATCCAGGGAAATCTGAGAGTTCACCTCCTGCTTTATACAAACTGATATCAACTCATAAAATAAAGAATTAAATTGATTATTTTTGGATATGTTAATATAGCTACTTAATTAACCAAGGCACTGGACTGACTTGTCTATCACAGCTTGTTTTCCAAAGGTGCAAACATAAAAAGACAATTTAAATGTCTGTAATGTGAAGGGAAATAAGTTCAGCCAAATTAGCATGGCCACTGATTGTTAAGGAGTACAGAGCCCTAGATTACTCCGACAGGGATATTCTTTTCTGCTTCACAGTGCTTGATGATGACAACATTAAGACCACTTTTTAATGAACCTTTGTTGACTTGTTATTTTTGCACTCACCCACATTCTGGAAATTTTGACTGTTAAGAATGCAGATGACTAGTCAAATAATGAAAATGCATGTTTTGGGTTGTAACGAAGTTGCAAAAATGTATGCAAGTGTGTTGCTCAATTCTGAAACTAAAATGCTTTCTTTGAGAATGAATTGACTGGAAATATTCAGACCAGCTATTTCATATATTTTTAAATAAAATTGTTTTCTAATATTTGACAAGTGGCAATAAGTGAATTCTGAGATGGGCAGAGTTAAATAAAGTAAAATGTTGAGGATAGGTTAACAAAGATAGTTTTAACATTCTTGTTTTCCACTAACAGCCTATTAAAGTATTGATGTACTCTAAACAGTCAATTTCTCCACACCTCCAACAAATTAGGTCACAGGCACATAATTACTGAAAAATCAGTAATTATTTTTATAATGTTCATGCTTCAATTATTTATTTCAAATTGTACTGTATACATCAGAGCAAAGAAGTTGTTTTTCAGCACACCCACTGTGTCTAGTGTGCCACGGTTGCGTCCCATATTTTTGCCCCTTGGATTGAACATTTCCCTCCAGACATACTTTGCAGTCTGGCAACTGATCACTTACAACTGATCAAGCACTTTGAGTAGCATTGTTATATATCATGGATAGGAAAGCCACAGGATGTGGGCTGGATTAGTTTTTAAAGGGCATCCACGTATTTTTGGCAAGGCTAGGAAAAAGTTAACAGAAAGGAGTTAATGCATTTAAGTTAACCATTAAGCTGGGGAGGGGGGATGGTTGATTACATTTATATTAGGAAAGGTGAGGTACATTTATGGGATTTTCAGTGTTGATCCCAGAAACACCCTCTGGATGCAAAAACTCCTAATGTTGTCCCACTTTGCAGGAGGGGAGAGGAACGACATGTCATTTAATAATTGAAGTTGGAATGTCCACAAAAACCTTCCTACAGAATGAAGGTAATCAAATTCGTCTGTTTACAAAAAACTGAGTTGGCACATTTTAATAAGTGAAGGTTAGATCTCTGCCAGCATAATTATGTTGTTTGGCATGGGCAAGAAGGCACCTCCCTCCCTCTCATTTCTTCTCCAACTCGATCATAGCAACCAGGGATGCTGGGAGGCACAGATTCATTCTTTGGGTCACCAATTGATCCTATTGGTTCACCCAGGTACATTCTGGCTACCCTTGGAAAAGAAACAGCATCCTCCTCCTTCCTTAGATGCATGAGGCCAACCAGGGCACTCCCAGGCACAACAGAGTTAAAGTTAAATGAAAGTGCTAGAAATCTGTAGCATGATAGAGACTCAGAAAAAAAGTTCCATTTTCTGAGAGAGAACTACTAAAAAGTGATGCTCTGTGAGCTGGTGCTGGTCCTCAGGAAATCTCTAAGGAGAAAGTCATTTTTCTGCAGCCAACTATAAGTTAACAACTTGATGCTTGTCTCTCACCACCAACTTGCTGGGTTTGGGGAGCTGTGACTGAGATGTTGGCCATTTCCAACTTACGCCATTGAAATTCACCGACAGGATACTACCCACTGTTAACAAATTGTTTTGGGATTATGAAGAATATGTTTATTTACATTATTTTCAGAGCTATTCCACACATGGGTATCTGTGGAGTAAGGGAGGATTAACTCCAAAACACTTTCATTTGTAGTAGATGCACTTTTACATGTTAACAACTTAAGACACCATCAAATGTATTTGTTTTATTTTTTCAAGAATGCATATTTATTAAAATCAGAATAAAAGTATTTACATGTTAGCAATCTGGTTACCAGTTTGCTAACTAGAACTCTCTATTTAGAAATAGTACACAAAATGCTTTTTAAAGCTGGACACTATTAGGATCATAATGCTCCTATAACCAATTTGTGAGTAAGCATTTCAGACAAATTCTTCAGTAGCACATTCAGTCATTAGTATGATCAAGGAAAAAAAAAACCTGAGTCCTGTTTACAACCAATGCTTCTTAGCCTGATTTTCAAGTATATTTCTTCCTTGTCCTAAGTAATATATATACACAACAGAAGACTTTGGTTGTAATAGCTTCTTGTACATTTATGCAGAAGATAATTACAGTTGTGTTTTACAGAACACTGCATTTGAAAAGATGATACAAGCAAATCAAAAGTAGCCGGAAATTCAGGGAATATTGTCAAGGTCCATTCTAAAGTTAAACTATCCTCTTTGGCACTGTTAATTTCAGCATATTAAGTACTATGGATTTCAAAATATTTCCTTTTAGAGAACATTGAGAACATTAGAGAACATTGGCAGAAAAGACCATTAACACTTCTGTAACCATTATAAATTTCCTATTTTTAAAAGCTAAGGCATATACCTATTCCCTTGATATCATCTGTTACTTCTGATAAATGCTTTTTGGATATTCACATGGGGCCTCTGAATAGTAAAGTGCTTTGGCATTAAAGAGCGAAAGAGGTGATGCAAAACTAGCTGTTCTATGCATAAAATCATGATTGCTTAAGGATTTTTTTCTGATGACCATTTAGCATCCCACATCAGAGGTGGGCTTTTCTGGTACTCATATAAAACAAACATCTTACACTAACTTACGACTTCATCACACAAATCTTTGGCAGCGTCTTAGGACACTTTTGCCCCAGTTGAGTCATGTAGCCCCACAACGCCTATCAGACAATGCAGGTTTACTTCTGGTGGGGATTCATGGCTCAACTGGGATGCAAGCATCCTACAGTGCTGCGTCCAGAACACATGAGGTGTCCATGTTCCGTTGAAAATCATGGGGCCAGCATAGGGGAAGCAGCACAGAAATGTGGGCCACCAAGATTGCCCTGCTGCCCCACGGATTTGCCACGAAGGCTGATTAATCACCCCGCAGGACCTCATCAATGTGATGAGGTCCTTAGACACTGCAGCAGTCCCCTTCACTTAACTCATTTTGGTAGGAACAAAAGATGAGAACTGTCTTAAATCTGCCTTCCAAATTAGATGCTACCGAGAAGAGGTATATGAATACTATTTTATATGAAAAAGTTGCTGCAGCAGCTAGATTTAACAAACTGAAGAGAAAGGAAGGTTCATCCTCCAAGCTGGTTTGCTACCCAAAATCTTTTGTTCTCCAAATGGACAAGTAGACTGCAGGAGATTTTAGTGCAAAGAGATGCTAGAAAGACTAAGGTGTTATCCAGTGCTTTTTCCTTTTCGTGACTTTATCGACTTCAGTTCTGAACACTTTTTCTCAGGCAGACTTGGGTGTGTTTGCATCTTTTGTGTAGCATCTAGTTTGTCCCTACAGCAAGCGTAGAATTCACTGATATAGTGCGAATTCTGAGAATTTTTTTTCAGTTCATTACATTTGTAGCTGTCTATACATTTGCTGGAACTAAAGTGGCTTTTTGGTTTTGTGATATGTCAAAGGCTATCTTGTCCAGCTATTTACATAAAATGCAAAGAAAACATCAATAGGAAACCGCAATCCTGAAGCAGGACATTGATGATTTGCATTGTTTGCTTGAGATGCACCCTTCAACTTCAAGAATCACAAACAGTGAGGAAATTTGAATGAACAAAAGCTACTGGCTCAACCATATTGTCCTATCAAGAGGTTTATGCCAAGTGGAGGCAAACACAGGAGTTCTTTCTATGGCTGTTGCTGATATTGTCCTTCTGTAGCTGTGTAGAAGTCATCAAGGACACTCTGTAAATATTCAAATGTTGGTCTCTCTTCTGCTTTATCTTTCCAGCATGTTTTCATGATATCATAGAGCTCAACTGGGCAGACTTCCATGCGAGGCATGCGGTATCCACGCTGAAGAGCTACCATTACAACAGAATTACTCATACCTGAAACAATAAAGTTAATAAGTCTTTAATCTGGTGGATTTGGTTGTGTTAGAACACATGGGTAGATGAATGAGCAATACTTGCAGGTCTGGACTTAGGGAGGACAGTATTATGACTGAACTTCTCTGCTTCTCCTTTTATGACTCTGAAGTATTTTTTCATCAAAGAGAAGTATAATTGTACTTGAGATCTATTCCTCTTAACAAACTCAACAAGTACACAAAGTCTTTGCCTATATTTTCATGAGATATACCCCTTTAACTTTGGTCTATTAACTAACTAATCTTCACTATCCATGATTGTTCACCAAAGAAGAACCACCCACAGAAATTTAATGGTTTCCAAGGCCCGTTAATAAGCAGAAAAATCTTATCTGGGATCAGTTTTTCACAAGAGCAAGGAGCCAAGAATCTCTCCCCACCCCCCCCCCCCCCCCCCCCCCCCCCCCCCCCCCCGAAAAAGTTTGTTTTAACTGATGAACTGGGCATCAAGCTTAAACCATCATATGACACTATCTCTTGACTGGCAACAATGGGAAGTTATCCATCTGAAAGTACCTTTTTATTTATTTATTTTAATATAGCCATATGCAGTAAGTCCATATATGATGAGATCCTACATGGTCCATAGCATAAGGTTTCCACATGCAGAATTCTGCTGCAACACCCAGGATCTACCATTGCATTATGACAGCACACTATTACGTTCTGTTGCTGGTGAACAGTCAGAAGCATCAAAGAAGCATCTGTGCTCACAGTCAGATGTATACCAAGAACATCTTTCATGAAGATCTACTGGGTTCCTCCAGAGGTCTCAACAGATGATATCATCAATTTGCATCTGGCTACTGGAATGCTGTCAGATGCTTGTCTAATCTTTTCTGGTAACAGAATGTCTGTGAGGGTCAGACACTAAGGATATCATTACAGAGGGAGGAAGGGAATAACAACTTCTGCAATGGCCAACATATATGTCTATGTATGGATATGTGTAGCACACACCCACACACAAAAGCTTCCGGTGGATTTATACTGTGTATAATACTAACAGGATAGTATTTCCCTTGCATGCATCCCGTTTCTTCTAATGTACCTGTTCTTTTCACCAAAAGTAAGCAACTTTTAATGCTTTGGTACCTGTATGGATACTGTGACTATACATAGAAGAGAATTAAACCAAAAAGAGAGCATACCTGGATAAGGAATTTTTCCATAAGTAATTATTTCATACAGAAGAACACCAAAGGACCACACATCAGACTTAATAGTAAAAGAACCATAATTAATGGCTTCTGGTGCTGTCCACTTAATAGGAAATTTTGCACCTAAGGGGAGAGAAAAAATAGGTTTAATTTATGAAGTCATTTAAAATGATTTATACATAAAAAATAGTTGAGCAATTCAAAAGGATATTTATGAAAGAACTAGTGCATATGGGGCTAGTAAGAAGATGGGGGATTTCTGTATTTTTCCCTCCCCAGGGCCAACCTAGTCTTACTTTGACTGACTTTGAGTGAAGTGACAACATCAGACAATTGCTAGGGGATAAGGAAAACCAGAGGGGTATTAGGATAAGTAAGTGAACCCGAAGAACTGGTTTCCCAGTCTGATTCTCTGGATGTCCCAGACAGCACCACTATCTTCACCATGACACAATTGCTCAACAGTTTATTTTATTTATTTACAACATTTATATGCTGCCCTTCTCACCCCGAAGGGGACTCAGAGTGGTTTACAAGTTATTCGTACGTACAATATATTATATTATTAGCATAGCACAATATTAGCATTAAATATTACTATAGTGTACTATACCACTAATATTAGTAATAATACATGTAATATAAATATATAATTATTATATTGTATTATTATTAGTATTATATTGTATTAAATTATAATATTATTATATATTACATATATTACAGTTTCCTAGCTTTCACACTCTAAAAAGCCAAATACTTCCCTCAAGGCTTAAATCCTGGCAGTAAGAGCTTTCACTAAAAGTATAATGGGATTTTTGATACCATTATATTTTCTTTGGTCACATCAATCATTTAAATGTGGTCCCTGACAACTTACCTGAAACTAACTTCATCCTTTGACTGAACTAGTTTTCCTACCCCTGTGTTAGAAGATGGAATTATGTATACGGCACAGGATGGGTTGCATCCCTTAAATAAGTCTATCACTTTCAGGTACAATGGAGCATATTGTCTATTCTCAAGTATTAAACTAATTTCCAGCTCCTAATTTGATCATCTTCTATATATGGAAGCAAAGGGTGGACTCTTTTGGTAGTTTTGGTTTCTTATCCTATTATGGAAAGTATGAACTGCCTCCAGACTGTCAAGTACAATAGAAATAGAGCTGCATTTCATTAGAAATAGAGATAGACACACATTTCATTACAAATAATTAACTAAGTGTCAACTAATATAATTATTATTAAGGAGATACAATTATTTACGTAGTATGAAGAGCTACAAACCTTCCCTGGCTGTATATTCATTGTCTTCAATTACTCTAGCAAGCCCAAAATCAGCAATTTTGCACATCAGTGATTCTGAAACTAGAACATTAGCTGCTCTGAGATCTCGGTGTATGTAGTTTTTTCTTTCGATATATGCCATCCCCTCTGCAATCTGTAATAACAAATGAAGAATCTTAAATGTTAATGTATTTTCCCGCTACTTTCACACTTCCACATATAATTCGCTCTGCCAACATATTACTTTCTATTTTTTACACATAAGCTGTGATATGATTATCCTCCAATAAGCTGAAAAATGTTAATAAGGACACCCTATTTCTCCCATGAAGAATTACTATCCAATGGCAGGCTGTTAACATCACATACAAATATTCATGGCCATTCAATGTGAAAACACAACCCACACTTATATCAGTGTGTATGTGTCTATCTGTGCATCTTAAAGTCGTGTGTCAAGTTATGGTGACCCCATGCATTTCACAAGAGGGCAAGAAATGGTCAGAGTTGATTTGCAACAGTCTTCCTCTGAAATATTGCCCACAACTCCAGGTAAATGTTGGGGGTCTTCTACAAAAATATTAACCAGGCCTGACCCTGATTAGCTGACAAGATTAGATATGATATGGTGCCAGGATAGGGAATGGTTATATCCATTTTGGACCCCCTGCTGTAAGAAAAATAAGCCACAAAATTATGGAAAATTATACCGTGAAGAATGGATACAGATAAAGGAAAATATTTGATAATATTAACATTACTAACAGTATTGTCCACAAATTCAAAATATGAAATACTTCAAAAGTTCAAACTTTTTGCCATCACCCACTCATTCCTGCCTCTGAGAAAAGGGAATTTGTCACACATACAGAGCTCACAGAGTTTTTCCTTCAAGAAAAGAAAAGAAAAGAAAAGAAAAGAAAAGAAAAGAAAAGAAAAGAAAAGAAAAGAAAAGAAGAGCAAGTGGGAGGCACACTCTACTTATTCAAGGCCCTTGTAAAAAAGTTGTCTCATACACATCTGTGCTTGCCTTTTACCTGGTAAATGGCAGTGTGCAGTGGAGTAGGCACTTTGGAAATTGCTGTGAGGTTATGTGCTGAGTGGATCCCATTGGATACTGCTCCAAGGGAATGAAAAAGACCGAGGCAGAGAGTTTTTCACACCCTTCCTGGTTACATTGCTAGAAGAGGAGAGAATGTGCTGACAGGAGGGACACCTCCTTTTTATAGAGGTCTCCTCTGATCTCTTCTCATTTTCCCAACCAGAGCTCGTTGAGAAAAAAAATCAGAAGGTATTGGATGTGTGACTACCACCTGCTCCCCCTTCTATTATTATTACTATAGACTTCACCAGGCAGAGCTGGGGAAAATGGGGAAAGCAGGGAAAATCGTCTTCTTTGCATACAGAATCTTCTTCTTAGTGCGGGAATTTATTTATCCCCACCACAAAGGATTGTCTCCTCCCACCTCTAGCTCAACCATCAGCTTAGAGGAGACACAAGGCATTATTCTTAAGATACCACTCCTTTTGCCTCCTTTACTTTCCCTCTCAATACCGTTACTCTAGAGGGGACCCAAGGCACCCATTCTTAAGACATACACCACTATGGGGTTTCATTGCTTTTCCTCTCAAGCCCTTTACTGTTAAGGAGACCCAAGGCACCATTCTAATCTCCTACAGTGGTTTTTTTTAAAAAAAACAAACAAACAAACAAAAAAAGCTAGCAAAAGCGCCATTTTGAAAGCCTAGATTACTATGAAGGAGAAAATGCAGCAAAAACAAAGTGGTGGTATCTTACAATTGTGCGATTCCTTAGGATTACATTAATTAAAAAAATACTGTTCAAGGCTCATGCAAAGGGCTTTTGTAAAAGTGGGGCATAAGAGACCACATGTAGAAACGCTGATTCTTCCACATCACTTAAACAATTCAACATGGGCAAATCTGACAGATCCCATCTCACACGTTTTTAAGCACTTTCTCGTGTTTCCACGCACATTAGAAGCTCAGAATACGATTTCCCCCTGGCTTCAGCCCCCCCTCCTTTCTCCATACTTCTGACACAGTTCACTGACGAAACACCATGGATGACAGCTGGAAGTCTGTCTGCAACATATGATGGGCTCTGTGGTACTTCGTCTATGAATTGTTTAGAAGTGTGGAGAAATTGGAGGGGGGTTGCGTGTGATTACGTTCTCTGTGTGTGTGTGTGTGTGTATATAAATACACACACACACACATGCTTAAGTGTGAGAAGGGGGTGGAATCCCTCTTGGACCCTAATTCCGAGAAGTCTCAGAACCAATATGGTTACTGCTAGCTCAAAGATTCTGGAGTTGTAGTCCAAAAAGTTGACTTTTCAAATATTTTCCTGTTCTTTTTCCTGTTCATCCCTGATTCAAAATGGTGTATGTGTCACTTGTGGCAGAGAAGATAAGACAAAAAAGAATGGTGTAAAAGGAACTGCAGTCTAAGAATGCTGCAATGGGTAGCACAAAGTAATTAAGGCAGCTTATTTCACAGTATTGCCCTGATTTCCCCAGTTTTATGGTTCCTAATGTATTTGTCAGGAGACACTTACTTTCATAATTTTGTGACATTGTGAAGGAACATATAATATGCAGTGAAGTTGGTTGATCCCTTCCAATGAAAATGGAGAAAGCTTGTGGTGACGAGTTTTCCTTCCCTGGATGTTTTTACATATATTTTGGATAGTCATCTTTCAGGAATGCTTTGACTTTGGGGTTAGACTAGATGGCTCTTGGAGCTCATCTAACTCTATAGTTCTGTGATTGACAAGAAGGATATCATCTAATCCAGAGAGTACTGGCCAGATTGATGATCGAGAGACATATAACAGCACAAATATTTCAGTTAAGCTTTACCACTGAACTCAGCAAGCTGGTCAATTTACAACCCAACTAAGATCAGAACTAAATCCAACTGTTAATCTGAAATAGCCTTGACCTTATAAATAAATGGTTAATTCCTATATTGTAACTTAGGTAAGTTCAATAGCTTCAACCATTTTTGTTATGGATACTGGGTGATTTAGGCCTTAGTTAGCTACAAAATTAATTTGAAGTACCTGCATACAAAACAATTCAATTTCATGTGTTTTTTTAAAGTAAATCTAATCCAGTTTTTAACTGAGCTGAACAGGTTTGGAAAATGGTAGAGTTAAATACTATAAATAAATACTATAAATATCTGTGCATTCTTTAAAACATCCCCTTGTTATTTTATATGCAGATCAGCATCTAAAAGAAAGGAACTGCACACTCTCCTTGTTCCTCTTTTTGGGGAGGAACTGTGGCACTTCCTACCACACAGTCAAAGTAGCACATATTTTGTACCATGTCTTTTGCAAGGAGATGTATTGCACAAAACCATTGCATGAACCTGGAATGTGACTACCAGTATCTATCTGAAACAGGATAGCCATGTGTCCTATTTTACAGAGAACAGTCCTATGGACTAGTATTTTGTTCACAGCTACCGTAGTTTAAAGATGAGAACCAATGAGCTTGTCTATTTACATCATCTGAACTGTATCCCTCTGAATATCTATTTGTTGTTGAACAGGATTAGGAGGTTGCCCTTACACTGATCTCATGCTTATGAGCCACAAGCACTTGACTGGCCACTGTAGGGAGATTAACTCAAAAGCATAAGACAACAGGAGAAATTTGAAATATTACTCTTCAAAACAAATTTGGAGCAATGGGTTCAAATTACAGAAAATAATGATTCCACCCGCACATTAGGAAGAACTTCCCGACAGTAAGAAGAGATGCTCAACAGTGGAACTCTCTGTCTCCAAGTGTGGTAGAAGTTCCTCATTTGGAAGCTTTTAAACAGAGGCTGGATGGCCATTTGTCAGGGGTACTTTCATTGTTCTTTTCCTGTATGGCAGGGGGTTGGACTGGATGGCCCATGTGGTCTCTTCCAACTCTATATTTCTATGATTCTATGAAATTCAGTTGCACTGCTTTGCAAAAGCAGTTAGTTGTAATTTGGAAACTAGAAAATTTCAAAATTAACTATTTTCAGCATCATTATTTAAAAGCAGTTAAGAATTACTTTTTGTTACCTAAAACAAAACATCATAATGCTATAAACTACTAACACCTAGAATCATAGACCTCAAGGACCATCCAGCCCAATTCCCTGCCAAGAAGCAGGAAAATCACATTCAAAGCACCCCCTGGTATGGTGACTCTCACAACATAGCTTAGAAAGTTACCCTTTGAATCAAACTAATTACAGTGTTCATTCTTTGCAGAAGTGGACAATTACAATTAGAGTTGCTAGTTTCCTCTCCTCTCCAACTTTCTGTTATAAAACCCACCTGAATGCTAGAGGGTACTGGAGGTTGTACAAGCAGTCCAGCCATTTGTAGAAGCTCCCTTACTACAACAGTTTAGACAAACATTTATGAATGTATACTACCATATTTACTCAATTCTAATCCTCACCTTTTTTGGCTAAATTACCTCTCCAAAATTAAGGTGCATATTAGATTAGCATAATATGGTAATCTTAGTGTTGAATGAAAGCTAAGAGGAAAGCTGGTTCAGGAGTCCCTGGAGCTCCTCTTTGAGGGACAACAGCTCAATAGTACGGGATCCTGGGATTTGTAGTTTGGTGAGGCATTAGAAGTCTTTGGCAGAGAAAGCTCAAGACCTTGTAAAATGATAGCCCCCATGATTCCACAGCATTGAACCAAGGCAGCTGAAGTGGATTCATTCTACAGCATAGATGCATCCAAAGTTTTCCTTTCCATTGCAGAAAGCTTTCATCTTCTAAATTGCAAAGAGTGCACTTTTTGAGGGTGCGCATTACATTCGGCAGCAAATACCTTTTTTGGTTTCAGGGTTTTGAAAGTTGAGGTGCGCATTAGATTTGATGGTGCATTAGACTAAAGTAAATATGGGTATATTGCTTTAATTCTTAACCCTCAAAACACTTCACTCAGAACAAACAGAAAATGTTTGAAGATATAAATGTACATCAATCCAAGAAAAACCAAGCCACCACGCATTCCACTTCTGTTCTAGCAGATTTCACATATCAGATAGTAAGCACAGCAACAGCTGTAGAGTGTCCTGGAAATGAGGATATATTCAAAACTGGTGCGTGATTGCTGAATGCTAATATTCTGCCGAAAGATGAGTTGCCATATTTTTGAGGATAAGTAATATATTCATGGTAAAAGCTGGCCATAAGGAAAATGATTAGGGCTCTACAGAAAAAAAGGAGCAATGTGGATTTGGATTTAAATGTCAGTAAAATACTACTGTAAATTATGTTTGGAAAATGTTTAAAGTTAGACTATTTCAAAACAGTTGCTTATAATTGTAAGTTACTCTGTATATTTTACCAAAAACATAACTCACAGTAAAAAGAAGGAAGCTGAACAGAGGGGGGAAAATAGGTTTGTTTTTTTTTTAAAAAAAAGAAGAAGATTCTGTTACTATGACAACAATTTTAGGGCAAAATGGGGTCAATGTTTGCTACAGGAAATTAAGGTCATGTTCAAAGGATATTTGTTACAGGACATATTGCTCTGGAGCTTTATGCCCTGTGGTAAACATTGGTTTCAATAGGATTCTTTTTTGTTATAAAACCAAGCCCAGGATCTCTGTATTCCCTTTCTTCTCTTCATATTTTTTCCCTTTTCATTGTGCTTGCTTTCAGGATCAACACAAAAGAGAGTAGGTGTATTCTGACAATTGCAATTTGTTCTAAAGCAAATGAAAGGCATCTGCAAAAATAAGGAAGATACAACAGCTTGCTGAACAACCACAGATATAATGGCTTCCTCTTGCTCTTTCCTTCCCCACCTTCTGCCTCTTTGCATTTTTCCTCTGTAGTAAAGATCACACCTCTGAGGAGGTCTTTAACTGCTTTGGCAAAATAGTCTGAATCCTTCTCTGTATCAGCAGAAAAGGTCAAGGACCCCATAAAGTGTGGATTATGAAGAATAATGTTGTTTCCTAGTTTGTACTAGGCTGAAAAAACATATTCAAGGAGTTTATTTTAATAAGGAAATGTAATTCCTAAGGGTTTCCCAATTCCTTCCTAGGGATGGTTGGCATTATTTAGGACTACTTTATCCTAAATTTGCATGGCACTGTGGCTGTGTCTCTAGTCCACACTACAGAACATGTGGAGATCTCAGAAACCAGCTCCTCCTTTGCTCACTCTGCTCCACCCCTTAGTTGTTCTTTGGCTGGCAGTTCTTAGCCCCCTTTGGGGAAATAAAGTGGTTTATAAATAAATATTATTATAATAATAATAACGTACTAATCTTGTTATGTATCAAATAATAATAATAATAATAATAATAATAATAATAATAATAATAATAAATACAATTAAGGCCAGGATTGAAAAATCAGCTGATAACCCAAGATGCAGACTGTGCAAGGAAGCTGATGAAACCATTGATCATATCCTCAGCTGCTGCAAGAAAATCACACAGATGGACTTCAAACAGAGACACAATTGTGTGGCCCGAATGATTTATTGGAACTTATGTCACAAGTACCACCTGCCAGTAGTAAAGAACTGGTGAGATCATACACCTACAAAGGTAGTGGAAAATGAGCACACAAAAATACTGTGGGACTTTCGAATCCAGACTGACAAAGCTCTGGGACATAATAACCAGACATCACGATTGTGAAAAAGAAAAAAAGTCTGGATTATTGATGTTGCCATACCAGGTGACAGTCAAATTGATGAAAAACAACAGGAAAAACTCAGCCGTTATCAGAACCTCAAAATCAAACTGGAAAGGCTCTGGCATAAACCAGTACAAGTGGTCCCAGTGGTGCTGTCCCAAAAAATCTCAGCCGGCATTTGAAAGCAATAAACATTTATAAAATCATGATCTGTCAACTTGGATCTGTGAGCATCATTTGAAAATACATCACACAGTCCTAAACGCTTGGGAAGTGTTTGACTTGTGATTTTGTGATTCCTGCAGATCTATCTCATTTGTTGTGTCATACTGTGTTTTTCTGTCATAACAACAACAACAACAGCCAGCACAGCTATTCTGTAAACTGATTGCTTGGTCAGCAAATCTGACCAAGTCAGATTTGCAGAAGATCAGCAGAAGATCAGCAAGTCAGCAGAAGATCACAGGAGAGGTATGTGTCCAATTCTAATCTGCTACAGTTGGTATATCTTTGAATTAAAATTGCATGACTTTCTACTCCTCAGACATTGCAGAAGAGGCTACTCAAGCTCATGAAAAAAGAAGAAGAGATGTATCTTTGTGGGGTGCAGTCTGCCAAGTGGTCACAAGAGATGCAGTTTTACAGTCAGGGAACTGCTACAGAGAAAGCGTGTCATGTTTACAGACCAGCCTAGCCTTATGGAGGTGTTGGGACAGGAAGGAAGCAGCCAGTCTTTGAAGCTGAAAGGCTATTCTGTGCTAATCAAAGTAGCCAATTGCAACATTCACATTTGCCTCCAACAGTCAAGAGTTCTTTCTCCCACCCTGGACATTCCACAGATATATAAACCCCACGTGCCTAGTTTCCAACAGACCTCACAACCTCTGAGGATGCCTGCCATAGATGCAGGTGTTTTTTTTTTTTGTTTTTTTTGTCGTGTCAGGAGCAACTTGAGAAACTGCAAGTCACTTCTGGTGTGATAGAATTGGTCGTCTTCAAGAACATTGCCCAGGGGACACCCAGATGATTTGATGTTTTTATCATTCTTGTGGGAGGCTTCTCTCGTGTCCCCGTATGAGGAGCTGGAGCTGATAGAGGGAGCTCATCCGCCTCTCCCCGGATTTGAACCTGCGACCTGTCAGTCTTCAGTCCTGCCAGCATAGGGGTTTAACCCACTGCGCCACAGAGGGCACCATAGATGCAGGTGAAACATCAGGAGAGAACATGGCCACACAGCCCAGAAAAATCATAGCAACCCAAGGCTTTCACAGTTTGATATTTTGGGATCTACCTACCAGATACAGGAAGTAGACTGTTTTCCCAAGGATAGCAGTTGTGCTTTCTCTCTCCCCTTCCTTCCTAGTCAGACACTGTTTGAGACTGTTCTGTGATATCAGATCAACTGAGCCAAGAATCGGAGAAGTCAGAGACAGACAGACAGGCAACAGCTCTGCGAGTGAAGGAACTGCAAATTCCTAATTAAACTTGAGTTTACGCATAATAAAACCGGCTCTGTATAGAGATGCACAAGGTATCTTGGGTATATTATATTCCTCAATGAGGTGCACTTCAGTGGCTATTTACACAGTCTAGTGGTTTATATTATTCCACCTACAGCTGACTCACCACTGTCCTCTCAAACTCTCCTTGACTAACCCATAACTGGTAGGAGATAATACCATGTACTCAAATAAATCAGGAATAATTCTCTAAATGGCCGCAGCAACAGGAGAAATCCATTTAAAAACAAGCATTCAGAATCCAAAAGAAGGAAACCAAACCAAGCTTTTAAGAACAATACTTGCTTCAGTGCACCTGGGCACCTGTAAAAATGAGTCATAGCTTCAGACCAACCACATGTATATCACATGTTTCATTTTGAATGTGATTCAGTTCAGAGTTGGTGCTTGCATGGAATAGGTTATTTTTTTCTGGTTATTTTTTCCAACATTGTTTCATCAAGGCAGAAATATTTAGGAAAGTAACATTCTAACATTGCAACTTCAGCATCATATATCGATAATAGAATTCCTCACAAGAGATATAAAATGGGTTTCAGTGTATCTCTCCATCCCCTCTCTCTGTGTAAACACTTAACATCCACTTAAAATAATTATATGCCTCTTGTGGTGAATTAATTATACAATATTAATGTTGCAACATAAGAATGTTACTTTCCCAAATGTTTTTGCCACAGAGAAACAACACTTTGGAAATATATATACACGCAAATGTGTCTTTACCTGAGCAGAGAAGTCAATGAGCTTTGGAAGCAGTACTTTTCCACCCTCTGGGCTCTTCAGAAAATCCAATAAGCTGCCTATAGAGATAAAGTACAAAACAATCTGGTAAGAAATGCAAACACAGCACATAGTGCGAATGTTTGAGGGAAAGAGATACATTCATTTATGCGTATTTTAAGCTAGGAGTAATTTTCGAATGTATTCCATCTTTTTCCCAGACAGACTCAAGGAAGTGCAACACATGACTTGGGTCCCAATTCTAGGAAAAAGATGGGATACAAACCAAATTAACAAATTTGAATCAAGCCATTGATTTGCAAACCTTCTTGAAAACATACATTCTGATTTTTGTTGCTGGCTGGGAGCTGCTGTCAAATATAACTAAATGTAAACTATATTATTAAAAAATAAACCATCATATTGAAATAGTAAGTGAAATAAAAAACCATTTTAAAACACAACACTTTTCCTCAAAGTATAGCACACCCTTTAAATCATGGTTGTTGAACAGACGGAAAAGGGATTTAAACAAGCAGTAGTAACCCTCTATTTGCATGTATATCCAGCAGCAAAATCCATGGTTCCATGGCCTATGATTAACACAAACCATGGTCTGAACTAAGTAAACTCAAGAAATAGTACATCAAAAAGAAATCTGAATTATGATTTGATAAGGGAAATCTCAAGAGTATCTCAAGAGCACTCATTGGAAGCTTATCTACTGAAAATGTCGTCAATTTACTATAAAGAAGACTCAATAAATTAGCTGCTTAACCTGCTGCAACCAGTATCAAAATGTGCTGCAATTAAAGTCATCCCATCTGTAGCTGTGTGCAGAAAGCAACGCTTCAGGACCTGAACTTTAGCAATATATGTCCACAGTTCTGGAGAACATTGATTAAAAGACCATTTAAATTTTAAAATAAAGCTTGTGAAATTTTTGTTCTACTAAGACTGAGTTATATTACGCAAATGAGCAGATACTATTGTTTTAGATAAGATCTCAAAACAACTTATAGAAATACTGGCCTAAATCCAAATGTCAGTTTCAACTTGAGTAGATAAACTGAATCAATGGAACTTACATAAATATTGACTTATCAAGTTCCCAGTGATGCAGTGAGTTTACTCTAGTTGGAACTAAATTGGATTTAGGGTGACTGGTCATTATATCTCTGGTGGTTAAATGCACTGTAGAAGTGCACTGTAAATAGTATTTGAACATGAAACTTGTCAACTAGGCTGACAAATGACGGTGGTCACTCCTTGAGAGGAATGTATCGCACTGTAGGACTGAATATGCTAATAAGGAATACTAAATCAAGCTAATTAGCTGATAGTTAAAGATGGCATTTATCTGGCCTGCTGCTTAGATTGCATAAAAACAAATAAGTACTCATGGTTGGATTAGACCAATTCTGTTCACACAGGTCCAAACAGTTGCCTGTAGAAAGGCCGCCAGCAGGATATGATGAGGAATATTGCCTTGATACTGGAAATAATATATAGCCCCCCCCCTTTAATGTCAGGAGTGACTACAAGTCGCTTCTGGCGTGAGAGAATTGGCCATCTGCAAGGACATTGCTCAGGGGATGCCTGGATATTTTACCATCCTGTGGAAGGCTTCTTTAATGAGAAGCTGGAGCTGACAGAGAGGAACTCACTCTGCTTCTCGGATTCGAACTGCTGACCTTTCAGTCAACAGTCCTGCCAGCACAAGGGTTTAACCCATTGTGCCACCAGGTGATCCTGACTAGCCACCCTAACTAGGAACTACTAATAGCCTAATACCGCATGGATTTATCTAGTCAACTTTAAATACATCTTATGGCACAGAGCTTCACAATATAACTAAGTGTTGGGTTAACAAAAAGCTCCTTTTATCCCTTTTGTGGGGAAAAACATTAGAACTTACAATAATATAAGCTCATTTTATGCATATGTGATTCTAAAATCTGAATACATCTTTGTGGATTCAACCCCAATATGAAATTGTCAATTTAATTTTTATACAGTGGAGTCTTCTTATGCTGCTGATATCAATGGAGGAAAACTAGGGGAGGCTGGGGGGCACACTTCTTACAAAAAAATTGAATTGTCCTCCAATGCTCCACAATACCCTTTAGGTAATAATAATAATAATAATAATACTTTATTTATAATCTGCCCTCTTTCCCCAAGGGGACTCAGGGCAGTTTACAGAAATAGCAAAATGGCAAACATTCAATGCCCAATAACAAAAGACAGAATAAACAGCAACCAAAGCAAAACAACCAAAGCAAAATAAACAAAGATACAACAAACTCAATATAACCTATAAACAACCGAAACCGAGTGCTAAGCTTAATAAACTTAGCAGATAAGAGGAATCAAATCAATTAAAACAACTAACTTTAAAAGCATATTATACTATATTGCATCAACAAGCTAGGGTGAGTATCCAATGATGAGGTGAGAGCGTGTATAAGACATGTTAATCCTCTTCCTCTCTGTAAGCTAATAAGACATAAATAGGTCTTTAAGAATTTTTTAAACAAGAGGGGGGCATTTTTAGTTCTTTAGGGAGGGAGTTCCAGAGGCAGGGAGTGGTCACGGAGAAGGCCCCCTCTCTCGTTCCCACCAGTTGAGCTTGAGATGGGGATGGGACTGTGAGCAGGACCTCCTCCACGGGCTGCAAAGCTCATGTTGGTTTGTATGTGGAGATGTGGTAGTATGAGATACATTTGCAACATGCTTTTAGGATTCTTTGGGTTATTTTAGCCCCAAGAGAGGTCATTTTTAAGATCAAAAAGTACCTGGAAGTCATTTTTGGTTTTTAAAAATGGCTTCATTTCAGCTTTCAAAGGGCCAGAATCTCCCCCCCACTCTCCCCCCGCAAATGTAGTGAAAATATTCCATAATTTAGACTGCATTTGTAGAAAAAATATTTTACAAAATTTAAGTTGCAAAAGAGATACCCATATGACACTATTTATGCAAAATAGTTTTGTCCAGGATAACAAGATAATACTATAAAATGAAGTCAGTAGAATCCATAGCAAGTGGCTACCAAATGGCTTCTTGTTGACTTGTTGATATCACGCAATGAGTGTAATAGTACATGCCCACCTTTTGCCATTAATTCCGTTATTATATAAATAGGTTCTTCTTTGGTGACTACAGCATATAGTCTGACCAGCTTGTCATGTTGCAATGTTTTCATTAGGTTGGCTTCTTCTAGGAATGATTGCACAGACATAGTGCCAGGTTTCAGAGTTTTTACAGCCACTTTGGTATTATTATTGTAGTATCCTGAAATGAAAGAGATTGGTATGGGAAAAATCCAGTATGTTAAACTGTCATTCAAAGTCTGTTATGAGAAATAATATATTGAAAAGTCTAGACATTAGTATTCAAAGAGGTCACTGAATGTGTAGGACATGGCTAAAACATTAATGCATTTTATTTTATATAAGTTTAGAAAACATACCTAGGATGAAAGTAAGATTCAAAAATATTCAAAAACTGTTTGAAAAGCTTTGCCTCAAATGTTGGGAAAACCAGAGAATCTTGGACTGATGAAAATCTTTATAGTTTGAGATTTATTCTGCATACAATTCACGCTTCTATATACAGAAAAAGGGAATGTCTATAAAGGAAACAACATTTTTACACAAAAATATTTCTCTACAGAAACATTTTTTGGCAAAGAAAGCATTGGTTGCTATGTAAAACCCTTTCTGCATAAAAATGCAGATTTTGCAGAATAAGTTTGGGACTACAAATTGCCTTTAAAAATTGTGCAGTTTTCAAAGAGTTTCTCATAGAGACAAGCAAATTGCTTCATTTCCTAAAATTGCTCATTCCTTCCTTTGGTTAAAAAAATTAGCAAAGAATTACAGGTCTAAAGACATATACACCTTATGCTGTTTTGAGTCTTTGTTGCAGAGAGGAAAAAATGGAGTATAAATAAACATCATGATCATACACCTGGCCATATACTGAAGTAACGTTGGTCAAGGACATTATACTGATTCAGATAGCATGGCTTTTATATTCCATTTTGGATCTAAATTGTTTTTATATTTGTTTACAGCAGTGGTTCCAAACTTGTGGTCCGTGGACCACCAGTAGTCTGCAAGAATGAAAATATAGTCTGTGGCCTCACCCTTACTACACAATCGCCTTGAAACCATGCAGCAACGAGAGAGACTGGTCTTGCAAAACCCTCGTATAGTGCTGAGGCAACAGGGATGTCGGGAGGGGAGAGGCTGACTACCCACCAAAGATTACTACTATAACATCAACTCTAGATTATTAAATATAGTTTCCTGTGGGTGAGCAGATGGCAACTACTGGATGCCATATGTTCTGTATCAGAAACTAGAGCCGATGTGGTCAATCCAATGCAATCTTCTGAATCAGCACCCCAAATAATGAAACACAATCTAAAGTTGACCAAAAACTGATTTGTAACCCTTTTGGCACTAATGTTGGAAAGTGGTCCCCTGGTCAAAGTGGCCCCTGTTCAAATGTCCCTGCACAAGTGGTCCCTGGTCAAATGGTCCCTGGTAAAAAAAAAAGGTTGGGAACTCAGAGATAACTTTGTTATGTGGTATTATATAAATATTTTAAATTAAAAACAACTAACAATGGTTCTTTTTGACATATGGTCTCTATCTTTCAGTAATAAGGGATGGGAAAATGAAGAGGCATGAATGGGATTTCATGACATGAGGCTTCTGGTAGTTTCAAGTCCAAATGCCTTTTCTGATTACAGAGTAGAAAACTAAATAAAATGGGATACGTAAGTCAAGTCTCTTTCGGATACCCAGAAACTAAATGAAAATAGCAACCCTTCATAAAATTACAGTCCTTTGAACCCTTTCTCTGAATTTTTCCCTACACATGCTATAAATGGGTTCCCTGAGTAACACCTTAATTTAAAACAGGGGTGGGCAAAGAGCAGCCCTGGGGTTACATGAGGCCCTTTCAAGAATGTTTTTATGGTCCTAAGTGTTTCCAGTATCTCCAACACTGACCTTTTGCTGACCAAAAAAGGGCAGCAAATTACTGCTCCCAAAACCCTCCAGGTTCAATAAGTTACCTTTTAAAAGGTTGTAAGGCTTCCTGGTACTGTTTAATGTTTTTTTTTTTAAAAAAAAATACCCATGTTTGAGAATTAGAAATGGACTTTTGGCCACCTCAGATTGTTTTGGGGCTTATTTTTTCATAGTCCATGTGCACTTTGGAGGGCCACTCATGGTAAAGTGGCCTCCAGACCAGTTACAAGTGGCCCCAACTGTGATTTAAAGTAGAATTGGCAATATCTGCAAGTCTAGGAGATAAGGAAGGCTACTGGTTTTGAAAACAAAAAAAGGATTAAATATATACAGTATTAAATAGTCCTGGGGGAGGGAGGCTGTGACTATTTAAATGGTGAATTGCTGCTCCTGAAGGTTTCCAGGTAGGATACTACTCCTCTTTTTCTGGTGAGGAAAGGGCAATTTTGGGGGCTATATGGCGACCACAAGCGCCTATTACAGGAACACATGTGGAAAAAGATTGTTAAATCTTGATGTTTTAGGCACTGTAGACAGATATAAGATAAATATTGAGATAATAGCACTTATTATACTGGGGGATATGATGGTGTAGGAGCTAATACCTGGAATAGAAATAATCTTACCCATGCAGTTGTATGGAACTAGCTGGGCCTAGAATGACTAGATTTTATTTTTCTGATCAACACAAAGGATGCAGACAACTACACACTAAATTCAATGGAGCTAAATTCTGTGTAGAAATCTACTGGCTAGTACTGGATTTCAAAAAAAATCGCTTTTCAGCTTCAGCCGAACTTACATGTGCACCCCACTCCCACACACATACAGACTTTCAATATTAATTTTGTATACCAGGTGAAATACAGTAAGTTCTTGCCTATGAAAACTCACAATGCAATATATAAATCCCATAAGAGAATCTGTGCAACTATGTGAAATTGTTCTTAATCAGTAATGAGAATTGGATATTGGTTCAGATACTGCTGATTCTCAACTAATGGCTGAGTAATGCTGGGAACTGCAGTTCAGCAACTTTCAGAAGGTCACACAATTCCCACTCTTGTTCTTTTTAAAGCACAAGGGACTTTTCTCATAACCAACATAGAGCTATATTAGGGCCCCTTCTTTTATGCTGCCTTTCTTGCATTCCTTACCCAGTTCCACAGAATCTCTCTGGCATAAACAATCCTGAGTAAACCCAGACTTTTGCACCTAATGCAACCACTGGTCTCAGATAATAATAATAATAATAATAATAATTATTATTATTATTATTATTTCAGTAATAAAGAACTGGTGGGGTCATCAACCATACAAATAACAATAACAATAAACCTACTATTAAATAAAACATAAATAAACATTTTAAAATCATTTAACATATACAATTGCTGTGGGAACATATCAGTTCAGATAATACACTTCACTCAACTCACTGAGAGTCAGCCTTCCTTTTATTCCAAATTAAATCTATTCATTAAATGCTTGCTTGAACAGGAAGATCTTCAGCTGTTTTTAAAAAGATGTCAGGGAACAGGCTGCTTTAGTCTCCTTGGGGAGGAAATTCCAGAGGGTTAGGGTAGCCACCGAGAAGGCCCTCTCTCTTGTCACATTTGCAATGGTGGCAGCAGCAAGAGGAGGGCCTCTCTTAGCACTCAGGGTTTGTATGAGGAGTTGTGGTCAGATAGGTAAGTTGGACCTAAACCATTTAGGCTTTAAAAGTCAAAATCAGCACCTTGAATCGGGCCCGGAAACATATTGGTAGCCAGTGCAGATGTTGTAGCAGGGGGTAGCATGCTCCCTGAGTCCAGCACCTGTAAGTAACCTGGCTGCAGTTGTTTGTACTAATTGAAGAGCGGCCCCACACGGAACTCGTTACAGTTGTTTAAATAGGATGTAACTAAAGCTTCTCAAGGTATGGTCTCAAGGTAGGGTCACACAAGTTTTAGTTGTGTGAAAGCCCTCCTGGCTACCGCCAACACCTGGGCCTCCAGGCTTAGCAGTGAGCCCAGAAGGACCCCCAAACTGCAGACCTATGACTTCAGGAGAGTGTGACCCCCATCCAGCACAGGTTGCCACCCTATACCCTGATCTGCCTTATGACTGACCAGACTAAGCTCCATCTTGTCTGGATTTAATTTCAATTTGTCCTCATCCAGTCCACAACAGCTGACAGACACCAATTCAGGGTGTGGGCTGCTTCCTTGGCTTTTGGTGGGATTAGTAGTAAAGTTGGGTGTCATCTGTGTACAGATGGCACTGAATGCCAAAGCTTCGTATGATCTCTCCTCGTTTCTTCATGCAGATGTTAAACAACATGGGGGACAATACTGAACTCTGCAGGTCCTCACAGGACAACGGCCATGAGGTCAAGCAGGCATCCCCCAACACCACCATCTGGGTCTGTTCTTCCAGGAAGGAGTGGAGCCACTGCAAAATAGTGCCTCCCTTGAGTCTTATCCCAGCCAGGTGACCCAGAAGGATACCATGGTTGGTGGGAAGACCCCAGAGAGGTCCAAGAGAACCAGCAGGAACACACTCCACCTGTCTAGTTCTCTGCAGAGCTTATCTACCAAGGCAACCAAAGCTGTCCCTGTTCTGTGACCAGGCCTAAACCCAAACTGTGATGTATCAGTTTTATCCAGGAATCCCTCAAGCTGTGAAGCCATCACCCATTCCAGAACCTTATCCAAAAAGGGGAGATTACAGACTGGGCGATAATTACCCATTTTCATGGGATCCGATGATGGTCTTTTAAATAGTGGTTTTACCACTGCCATTTTTAGGCTAGATGGAAATTTGTCTTGGTTGAGGGAAGCATTAGCCACCCTCTTCACCCAAACAACTACCCCCCCCCCAGCCTGTTTAATTAGCCAAGAAGGGCAAAGGTCTAGAGCACATGTGGTGGGTATCGCTTCCCCAAGGATCCTGTCTACATCCTCAAACTGCACCAATTGAAATGAATCGAGAGAAGGAAAATCCAATAAAACTCCACATAATTGTGTTTGTTTGACTTAAAAAAGAATTGGAACCTAGGTCTGTTACTATGCAAATCAACTTTTTTGTGTATTAGCAAGGAAAGGAAATGTATAGTTTGGGTTTTACAGTGCAGTAATTTTACCCATAACATAAGAATAACCATGTGAGGCCAAATTTAGACGTCAAAGAGTATCATATAAACAAGAGGAAACACCTTGAACCAGAAACACTCCCTTCTACTTTTCTATGCACACATGCAGGAACTTCCTGAAATTAGTTCTCTCTCCTGCAGATAATATTACACTAGTCTCTGCAAGTCAACGCAAGATACAAGCAGTCTTTAAATATGAGATTATTAAATATCATGATGTCACATGATGATGATATCCCAAAAAGGATACTGAATTTGAATTTCTATGAACAAAGATGCCTTTTCTATTCCATCATAAAAAAGGAAGAGGCAAGGGACTCATTAATTTTGAAGAGATGATAGAGGAAATGACTGCAGGCAGTACAGCTGAAGTCAACTATCAGAGTAGGGAAGCCGTTTTGTGCCAGAAAACAGACTTTTGTGTCAGGAACCTTTTGTGTCATCTCCTCTCACTTTGCACTGAGAAATTGGGGTTTGGAAAGCAGAAATCTGGGATCATCATCTTGTTTGATACAACTTTATGGTAATTCATCCTCCTCCAACAGCCTCCAACAGCCTTTATGGTAATTCATCCTCCTCCAACTGTGACACAGGGAGCTTACACTTTTGTCCCTAGACAACAGGTTCAATTAAGTAAACAGTAGTTTCCAACTTTTGGTCCTTCAGAAATTTTGGACTTCAGAATTCCCAACAGTTGGACTAGCTGGCTAGGGGTTTTGGAAATTGAAATCCCCTAAACTCGAAGGACTAAAAGAACTAGGAACAGCTAAAATATTTTAATCTCAGCTATATACTGGAATAGGAGTTGCACTAGAGAAATGCTGCTGCTTTCCTTGCACTCATTAATCTAGTCTTAGCAGCAACTGTCTAGGGCTATCTGTGACACAGGGAACCGCAGACGAATTTTACTTTTCTGCTTTCAGTTTCTCTCTGCTCAACTGTGCCCTCTGGAAACACACTCAAAGCCCTAATAGTCAGTTCAGTTGTACATATTAACCATAACCAGGAATGTCATAATAGTTGGATTAGACTACTGCAGCTTTTTGAACACTAGCTATCACTTTTCTGTTCTCTGCAAAATCAGTAACAATTCTGGAACAGCTACAATTACCAAACTGTATCTGGGATGGGTCTCCTGGGACTTCAATTCTGTAATATGGCTTGTGCACCTGGCAACAGGAGCAGGGCTAGGATCTCCTTCATATCATCTCCTCTCACTTTGCACTGAGAAATTGGGGTTTGGAAAGCAGAAATCTGGGATCATCATCTTGTTTGATGCAACTTTATGGTAATTCATCCTCCTCCAACAGCCTCAAGCTACATTTACCTGGCAATCCTAAGGACAACACAGTATGCAACCTAACACAGCAGTATTGTGGAGCGAGTACATAAAATCAATATCTTACCCATCCAGACTTCTCCAAATTGACCTCCTCCAAGCTTTTTCACTAATTTTATTGAATCTCTGGGGATTTCCCAGGCATCTTTATCCCATGGCTTTTGTGGTTTGGGACTGATACATGCTTTCTCCAACTTTCTGCATAATCCATCAGACTGCTCTGTTTAAAAAACAAACATCCTACATTTGTACTTTATACAATATCAAAATGGGCAACAATTAGCAGAATGCCTTTCCTATGGTTTGGATTTAATCTTTTCTTGCTAACATTACCCTGATAAGAAATTCTCAAAGCCCAAAGACAACACGACTGCAAGACAATTGTTTAAAGTTTGTATTTTTATTTGCTGCCAAAATGTAGAATTTATGGCACAGATTCTATTGCATCAGATTTTTCTGTTTGGCTCTAACATGTTGCAATAGTAAGAGCTCATGAGAATATCTCTAGTGTTGCTATATAATAGAAGTATTGGTACTATGTGACCTTTCACTACTTAAATTTGAACTGTGATTCATGGCAAGTTTTCCTGGCATCTTTGCTTTAATTTACTATGAACAGGTGGCCACTTAACTGTAGAAGCAAAAGCCATAGTTTAACTGTTATCAGAAACTCATTGTTAGATCTCTGTCCTCTGAAAGCTTATTTTGATCACTAAGGAACTATTCAAGTGTAACCTTCATGTACTTATGACATTAAAGTTTATATTTTTAATTAAACATGGTTGTTTACTGGCAGCCCATATTAAAAGAATTATTTCTCTACAGTATTCTGACTAAGATTTGTCAGAAGATTGACAGAAGTGTGGTTTTTCCAAACTGGTGAAAAGGTTATGTTTACTGGAATTAGTGGAATGCAAAAAGAATGACAAACCCACATGAACAAAGTGGTTGTGATTTTTCTTTCCCACAGCAAATATGTTCCCAGCACTGTAACAGTATTAGCACAAATAAAGCTGATAATGTTTTCACCTTATCGCTATGTCCATACATTTCTATAAATATTATTTATCCTTGGCAATCCAAGACTTCTTGTTTGCAGCTAATGGGCTCTTTTGTTCACAGGTTGGTTTGTTCCACACTGATATAAGCCCTTTGATCAGAAATGATTTACTTCCAATTCCCATCCTTTACACTCAACTTTCATTAATGTTCAACTTGCACAGGCTTCACCCTAAGTCCAAAATGCATTTGACTAAACAGATCCAAAATGGAGGAATGTTTTTATTTTTATTAACAGCAATCAAACAGATACATAATCGAGTAAAGTTACTGTCTTACTTTGATAATGTTTGATCATGTCGCTGATACAGGGAAAAGTAATTCTTGGAGATATGTAATACCCTCCATTATCTAGGCTTCTGATCTTGTAGTGTTTGACAACATCACCATGTTGTGCATCATGGTCTCGGATGGAGAGAGAGTAACTACCTATGGATTTAAGCAAAAGATGATTAATTAAGTAGACAAAATTAAGTACACTGAATCATTATTTTTGTTGATATGTCCCAAATACTTTAATACTAAAAGAATATTTATGATATACAGCCTATCCTATTAAAATAGCAACTGTCATCAATACAGAACTGGGGTGGCAATTGGAAGGGTTTTGGAGGCTCCTCTTTGGAGGCCCATAATGTTTCATTTTGCCCAGCCCTGTCTGAGCAATATACAACGAATCTGATTTGCCATTTGATTTCAGCTGCACAAATTGTAAGGGTTTATATGCTAATGTAAACTATGTAAGATGTAACATATCATGACAGTAGGTACTTATAAACAACTTGTAACTGTGAGATCAGATGCCTTGAGATGTTTCCTTTCTCCCCTCCAAATTCCTTTCCCCATTTGCTTATCATCTCTGCACCTCTAAGATTAGGGAAAATGTTGCTCCTACTGAAATAACTTATTCTAAGACAGTGTTTCTCAACCTGGGGGTTGGGATCCCTGGGGGTCAAGACTCCTGGGGGGGGGGTCATGAGGGAGTGTCAGAGGAGTCACCAAAGACCATCAGGAAACACAGAATTTTCTGTTGGTCATGAAGTCTGTGTGGGAAGTCTGGCCCAATTCTATCATTGGTGGGGTTCAGAATGCTCTTTGATAGTTGGTGAACTATAAATCCCAGCAACTCACTTCCCAAATGTCAAGCTCTATTACCCCCAAACTCCATCAGTGTTCACATTTGGTCATATTGAGTATCCGTGTCAAGTTTGGTCCAAGTTCCATCATTGTTTAAGTCCATAGTGCTCTCTGTATGTAGGTGAACTACAACTCCAAAACCCAAAGTCAATGCCCACCAGACCCTTCCAGTGCTTTCTCTTGGTCATGGGAGTTCTGTGTGCCAAGATTGGTTCCATTCATCATTGGTGTAGTTCATAATGCTCTTTGATTGTAGATGAACTATAAATCCCAGCAACTATAACTCCCAAATGACAAAATCAATCCCCCCTCAACCCCACTGGTATTCAAATTTGGGCATATTGGGTATTTGTGCCACATTTGGTCCACTGAATAAAATTACATTCTGCATATCAGATATATACATTATGATTCAAAATACATTATGATACAAAATGACAGTTATGAAGCAGCAACAAAAATAATGTTATGGTTGGGGGTCACAACAACATGAGGAACTGTATTAAGGGGTTGTGGGATTAGGAAGGTTGAGAAACACTGTTCTAAGATATGCTTTTGATCTCAGTGCCTGGACCCTTAGACTCTTAACAGAGGGCTTTCTTTCAGTCCCATCACCATTATAGATGCCTGGTGGGACATGAGCCAAGGCCTTCATACTGTTTGCCCTTGGGTCTGGGATCTTCCTTTCTGTGGAGGCAAGAATGAACCTCTCTTTGCTGTCCTTCCTTTGGGAGGCAAAGACTTTTATTCTAAAAGGTTTCAAAGTCTTTTGAGAAGGTGAGGTATTGTTTTCAAATGTACTTTTCAAAACTGTTTTCTGTCCTTTTAAAAGTGAATAACTGAAATATGTTTAATATTATCAACAGTTTGCTTCTATATCTATGTAAGTTTTAACTATATTGTGATTATGTTAATGTGTAAGCTTCCTTGGTCCCAGTTTGGGGGGAAAGGTGGAATATAAATAAAGCAAACAAAAGCAACACAACAAAGTGGGCTATAAGTACTGGTAAATAGCCTCAGTGGAAGGCATTGACAAACCTCTTGTGAACAAATCTTCCCAAGAAAATCTCATGATAGGTTCACCTTAGGTTTGCCATAAACTGAAAATGACATGAAGGCACACAACAACAAAATATAATAGATAATGATCTTAAGAGACACATCGTCATAGATTTGATGTCTTGGTTTTTTAAACCCGAAATCATTGTTACTCCCAATTAGAGCAGGTCCTTTGAACCAATGGAATGTAAATAAGTTCTGACTTGTCCAGATTTAAATGATCCAGTGGGTTTACTTTAGTTGGAACTAATAAATATAGTTAGACATAACAATTATACAGTTTAAGGTAACTATACTGTCTACAGTGATGTTTCCTGTTTAAAAGCCTGCCTGCTTTTCTACAATGATTTAGGATTTGGAAGTCCAAACCTGCATTTTACCAGGCAAGACATGATTTGGGGGGCCAAATTTAACCACTTGATATGCCTATCATTCTTTTGGTGAATATGACTGCATTTAAAAGACTCAGATTAACTGATCATTACTACAGGTTTTATGTACCAGTAAATACACCCATTTATACTATAGGGGGGAAAAACATCAAGGCGGAAGTTAAGTTTACTTTCAGCTCCAATGCAATCCTGAAAGTGTACCTTTTAATGTTTCGCTCTCTCTGATAAGGAATGCTCCGGGAGCATTTCCTGGTGCTAGCAGTTGCCGTTCTGCATCTTTCCTGGTGATATCTTTAAAGAACCATCTGAAAAACATTGTGGGGAAATAAATTACACCTTTTCCTTTGTTGGAATATGAAAAAAATTGAATAAAGAACAATCACTTAAAATACACCTACTCTTCAGTCTCCAAAGTATTGACCTTTGCAACATAGTTGCTTGGGATGAAGCCTTCATTCTTAGTCACAAGGGACTTAGCTCTCCACCATTCTCCGTGCCTAAGATGGAAAGGAAAGCCACATCATCTGAGTAAAGTGAACCAATACTGGCCATCTTTAGCAAAAATACTCGAGTTTTAATAAAGGAAACAATTTGATGGTTTCAAATATGCCTAGCAGTAAAAAGGGCTTTGAGCACTTGGATATATCCCTTTGAGAATATAGAATATAGAACATTGAGAATATACCTCTAAATTGATTAGAAAAATATTAAGAGCAGTCCTGGTTAAACGGATGAACTCTATCTTTCCATAGCTAATGCTGAATAGCAGTTGATCAGACCAAGCAAATCACTATGGGAAGCCAGCCAATAGTAGTACCCTTCAGCTTGCATTCTGTACCAACTACATGCTGACTCTGAAATGGAAGAAAATAGTTCTACATCCATATTTGTGGTTTTGGCTTATACGTATTTGATTATGGATTTCCTTAGATATGTCTTCTCTAAGCCCTCTATTGTGACTCTTACAGTCAACCTCTAACACAATTTTATGTTCAGCTTCCACCAGAAGTTGACCATCATACTGAAAGTCTCAGAAACTAAAGAACTAAAGAGATATTCTCTTTAAAAATAGCAATTTCTTTATTTGCAGTTTTCACTTAAATTGGGAAGGGGGGTTCCTGTGCCCCTAATCCCAACAAATGTGAGGGATTGACTAAACACAGTCATCATAATTAGAAAATACTGATAGATTAGACAGATATCACTGATACCTTTCAGTGATAAGTGTCTTATCTCTTTTAATGGCCATCCAAGTGAACAGCCATCACTACATCTTACAACAAAATAATTTAGTCACATATCAGAATTGGTTTCAATCCACTACAATACAATCATTCATTCAACAAAAATATACAGTTCTGACCTGTTGGGATTGGTACAAACAACACAATCCTAACTAAACTGCAACATACATATAATTTGGAATGGTTTTCTAAGAGCCAAAAACAATTAAAAAGCAGAATAATGAATACTTCTGTATACTTACTCCTCCAGAATTGTCATCCTCTCTCCTTTTTTGAAGGATAAATCATCTTCATGAATGCCATCATAAGGATACAAGGCTACTACAACAGCCCGATGCTCCCTATCTTCTTCTAATATAGAAAATGAAGAAAAGTCATTCGTGATCATTTAACAAATTGATAAATGCTTAATATGGCAATTTGTGTCAGGAAGCCATTCTCTATTAGAAACATACCTTCTTTAGTGAATCTCTGACCTGGTAGAAGTATATCCTCATTCGTCTGGAATAAGAACAAGGAAGTCAATTAAACCATTCCAATAAAGTCACTTGTATAAAATTAAAAGTTTTAAACAGCACTTGCAACATATTTTTGTTTGTTTTTGCTTTTTTTAAAAAAACAACGTTGACTTGGTCAAGATTTAAAAGCAATTTAAAAGCAATTGATAGATTCTGCTCTTCTAGTTTCAAAACAGTGAAGGTAATTCAGGAAAAGACTGAGAGTAATTTAGAAATTCATGTTAGTAGCCAGTTCATAGAGATTTAAGAGAATCAGCCTTAGTGGGGTTTCCTTGTTTTTTTTTTTTTGGAGGGGGGGGGAGAGGGATCAAAGAAAATCAATCATGTTATTGCACCTTAAATATTATGATGTTGATAATGAATCAAATTTTCGGGAGTAAATTCACAAGCAAGAAAATATGCTCAGGAGCTTAGAGAATACGCGAATATATTAGCCCCATAATATGGTCTGAGGATGAGATGCAAGGAATATGGTCTCTAACTTAAAAAATAAGGTGTTTAAATGTATGTGGAATAAACACATAAGTATATGCAACTCCATGTTGCCTATTCCCCTCCCTTTTTAGACTAGGTGTAGTTAACCACTGGTGCTTTGGAGTCCACCCCAGTCTCCCACTGGATCTTGGATGGCTCACTCCCTGTCATGTCTCCTAACTTTTTTTACGAAAAGACCTTTGTGTGTGTGGAAGGCATGTAGATGATGTGCTATGCCCTCTAAGTCCCATGTCATGCAGTGCCATTCTGAATCTTTTTTCAACTGAGAAGTAAAACAGAAATTCACTTCCAGTATCATTTGTGGCTAGAAATCCTTATGGTGGTGTGGCATGACATCACAGGAATTTTTTTTTTTGGGGGGGGGGTTGTTGTTGTTAAAAAATGTCTTTTAAGTTTTGCCTAAAAAATTGGGAGCTACTCAGAGGTAGTCTGCAGGCTTAACAACAGCATTTTCCTCATCCACATGCCCAGAATGAACTTCTCCTTATGTTAAGCAACCTAATTTCAACAAACTACAATATTCTGAATGATGCACCTAAAAAAGCATGTGAAAAATAATACATATGAAGAACGGTGCTCTGAAACTACTGAAGGATGATTAAACTGCATACATTCTATGCCAGCAATTCACAACCTTTTTTTTTGACCAGGAACCACTTGACCAGGGACCATTTGACCAGGGACCAATCTCCAACATTAGTACTGAAAGGGTTACAGATCGGTTTTTGGTCAACTTTAGATTCAGTTTGGTTATTTGAGGAGCTTATTCAGAAAATTACATTGGATGGACCACATCAGCTCTAGTTTCTGATACAGAACATATGCCATCCTGTAGTCACCATCTGCTCGCCCACAGAAAAACATATTTAATAAGCCACATTTAATAAGCACTATAAGAGGGTTTTGCGAAACCAGTTGCTCTTGTTGCAACTGGTTTCGTTGCTCTCGTTGGAGCCCCCGGTGGTGCAGTGGGTTAAACCCTGGTCCCGGCAGGACTGAAGACCGACAGGTCACAGATTCGAATCCAGGGAGAGCACAGCTGAGCTCCCTCTATCAGCTCCAGCTCCTCATGCGGGGACATGAGAGAAGCCTCCCACAAGGATGATAAAACATCAAAAACATCTGGGCGTCCCCTGGGCAACATCCTCACAGATGGCCAATTCTCTCACACCAGAAGCGACTTGCAGTTTCTCAAGTTGCTCCTGACACGACGAAAAAAAAACTGTAGTAATGGAGAGGCTGCGGACCATATTTTAGTTTTTGCAGACCACTGGTGCTCCACAGACCACAGGTTGGGAACCATTGATTTAAGCACTTTTGTTTGCTGATATGCTGAAGCTGATGGAAGATTTTTCTGAAATCTATTTGAAGAATACTTATGTTAAAGGCAACAGATCCCATTTTGGAAGCTAAGCAGGATCAGTTCTTGTTAGTATTTGGTTGAGGCCACTTATGAAAATCAGGTGCTGTGGGCTATATTTCAGAGGGAGAAACTAGCCAAACCACCTCTGAATATTTTCTGACTAAGAAACCCCTATGAAATTTATAGGGCACCATAATATGAAAGGTGACTTGAAGGCACCAAGCATGTATTATAGTAGAAAAATGGAAGAGAGGTTCCAGGGTAGATGGGAGGTCCTGAAAGCCCATTGTTCAAAGCCCAAAAAGGTTGCCAAAACCAGTAAGGAAAATTATCTCCCAAGTGTTTTTTAACCGACTTTTATTAGAGAATGAACAAAATCTGTTAAACTTTGCAATTACTGTACTGTCCAACAGCCAGGCACTACATTCAAGGTGCTCCAGGACAGTGTGAACTCAAAATGCACGTAAAAATTCAGACATATTTTTCTGATTTGTGCAACCCAGTACCACCCAAATATTTTTTTAAATGTTATTTCTTATTTAAACAAAATAAAATTAATATGCTAGTCATGCTGTGATCTCACTAATTGAAATCTTCCCTGAAACTATCTACTTACTGGCCTTGGCTGTTTATTGGATGTTGGATCCCTCACATAAATAGTTCGGTCAGTTTTACGTACTGGGTGAATCTTCGAATCATTTCCATCTCCATGCAGACTCTCTTTTCGCTTGGATTTTATACATCCCATACTTCCCTGTTAAACAACAACAACAACATTATGTAAAGAAAATGCTTTATCACACATACATGTTGACAATTTTGTATAGTGAACGCTTGCTGAAGTCTTCATGCTAGTATAATTAACCTAAAATAATCTGCCTCGTGTCACCACTTTCATATTTTAGGCATCAAGAAAAACCACTTTTAGACACCTGAAGATAAAAACTAGACAAGCCTAGTTAAAACCAGCCAATGCATTTCCTGAATGCATTGGCTTGGATTTCCCACCTTTACAGGCTCCATGTCATGCAAAGAAAGTATTTTTTAAAGTATTAAAACTTTAGTTTACAATAGTTGAAAAAACTATTAAATAACAATATTTTTTTAAAAACACGATTGAAAGAATTTAAACCTCTTAAAATATATTTAAAACATAATGTCCAAAGAAGATTTTTAAAATTGCAGCAAACCACTTCGCATGCACACACTATTGATCCGTAATTAAAATTCAAAGGGCTGCCTGGACCAACGTACTCTCTAAAAATACTCTATTAAAAGCAATGGCAACTTTCTCCAAATTTATCGTGCCATAAAAATTGATACATTTCATAGAATCATAGAATCAAAGAGTTGGAAGAGACCTCATGGGCCATCCAGTCCAACCCCCTGCCAAGAAGCAGGAATATTGCATTCAAATCACCCCTGACAAATGGCCATCCAGCCTCTGCTTAAAAGCTTCCAAAGAAGGAGCCTCCACCACACTCCGGGGCAGAGAGTTCCACTGCTGAACGGCTCTCACCATTTACCTTAGGATCTCTAAAATTAAAATTAACTTGAAGTCACACAACAATAAAAAAGGCTACCAGAGATAAAGACTGAATTAAGGATTTTCTTTATCATAATTTTATTTTACCTTTTGACTATAAAACAGTCCATAAATGACAAGTACAAATTAAACACATCTATATAGAAATTAGTCATTTATTTTCCCATTTTAAGCTTTACCTAGCATGCTCAACCATCAGAAAAGCATGGTCCGGGAAGTCAAGAACTGTAGGATAACTGCAAATTTTTCTTCTATTTCAGAATAAAATCCCCAAAGTAAAGAGCACTAGTATTTTTGCCAAGTTTTGAGCTGCTCAAAGAGAAAGGGGAACTTAAATGCTATTGTGAAGCTAAGAAAGGAGGAAGTACTCAAAAGCCATCACGTCATATATATGCTTGCTGTACATGCCCTCATGCTGTACATGCCCTCATATATACTTGCTGTACATGCCATCACTTGTTATAGAATCAGAGTTGGAAGAGATCAAAAGGACCATGCAGTTCAACCCCCTTATAAAATTGTAGTTAAGTAGTTTGGCATCTGTATAATTATTATTTAATTGCAACAACTAATTACTTTCCAGGATAAAAGTGGAGTCCACCTTTTCCAGAAATCCAAAAGACTAAAAGGACCCCCCTCTCTCTCTTTTTTTTTTGCTGCCACCATCACTTCCTCCTTTGAGGAAATGGGGCTAGTTACACATCCAGCGCCCACTAAGCTTTCTCAAGGAGCTCTTATTCCACCACTGACAGTAATTTTATGGCAGAAAAGGAAGTGGCGGAGAATTCTGGGTCTTGTGGCTTGTACTTGCACAAAACCCCTGTACAAAGCAGACACGAAGTGAGGGAAAAGTCAAAATGCTTCAGCCTGCTGTGGACTCAGGGAATGTTGAAAAGCTTCAGCTGCCCAGCTAATCCACACCAAACTCTGCTTCCACCCAGTCAATGGTGGAATAGCATGAGCACAAAAGTTAAGCGTGGCTTGGACTGGATTCCAAAGAGCCCATCAGCTGCCCACTTCTGCATTGCACCTCGAAGGCAGAAGCAGGTAAAGAGCCCAAAGAATGCATAGCTAAAAGTAACCAACTGGATAGCCAACACGAGCTATCTCTTTCAAACTACTGGACAACTGTTAACATTTGGGTATGATGCTGCTAAGAACTCCAAAATCCATTTGCCTGGTGTCTGAACTCAGTTCACTACAATCTCAAATTGTATGCGTTTTCAGCCTATCACATCCATGATCTAATCAACGAGGTCTATAAAAGTGCAAATTGATCCAAATTGATCCAATCAAGATTCCCAGAACTGCAGCATGTTGAAAAGGTCTGAGACAGAATGACTGCCTCCCCAGACCCCAGGTTTGGTTGTATTTCAGCTTTAGTCTTGTTTAATAAGTGAGGAAAGGGGAACAATGCCCAAGAGGGCATCATCAAAACCACACAACAAGACTCATGTTCTCATGAAGCAATGTAGGATCAGAACAAGCAAGGAATTTTTGTTTGGTCAAAGGCAGCTTTCCCAATCTGGATAGTGGTCTGGAAGATGGAAGCAAAATATAGGTATATTGTGAATATAGGGTTGCATAACATCACTTCTAATCACAGAGCACAAACATCAGCTTACAAATCCTTGGTGTCATGGAGTACAAGACAACATCCGATAATCTTAATGCCAATCTTAAACTGGCATGATCATTAATGCAGTATATAATGCATTCTGAATGAATACATTCAGAGTTGCCAAGTACTGAAAATCCTTCTCATGTGTGTGCTTTCTAGATCAGTGTTTCTCAACTTAGGGGTTGGGACCCCTGGGGGAGTTGCGAGGGGTTGCCAGAGTGGTCGCCAAAGACCATCAGGAAACACAGTCTTTTCTGTTAGTCATGGGGGTTCTGTGTGGAAAGTTTGGCCCAATTTGTGTTTGATATAACTGTGTATGTTACAAATGTAACCTAAGTTAAAAGAGCACTAAGTCTTAATGTGCTAAACAGCCACTTGCTAATTTAATAAAGATAACTTATTTACTGTCAGTAAAGGAATCCCACAGCCAAGTACCAGAGTCCTTGTATTCACTAGCTGTGGTTATTTTATCAAAATCCCAAGAAGCTCATGTTTCACTTCTCTGTGTGTGAGGACAAAAATTATCACTTCCTTGTTCTCATTGTTTTAAAGATATGTATGACTGTGTAACAGGAAACATTTTTATTCCTATTACAGTTTACCTCCGCTGCATGCAGAGGCCATTAATGACACTCAATGTAGAACTAAGGCTGGAAAATACTTTATAGCTACACATGTTATAACTGTCAGAGATGCACATACTAGCACAGAGCCAGCTAAACTCAAATCAATAATTACTTTCTATAAGAATGCAAGGAAATCAGATAAAGAAGAATAAATAATTAGGTGTTTTTGAGGCTGACTTAATGGAATCTAAGCACAGGCTTTAATGGCAAGATTTATTTGGGGTGATTTGCCATTGCCATTGTAAAGAATCCCTTACCTTTCCAGCCTGGGTGGCAGGGCCTAGGAGAAGCAGGCCAGTTAGTTGCAGCTTTAGGAAGCCTGGCAGAGGGCAGCAGGAGCCATTTTAGTTTAGGGAAAGCACCATTTCAGAGAGGGGGAGTGTCCTAGGCCTGAGTTAGTATTAGAACAGCCAGGATTGGTTTAGAAAAGGGGGCGGAGTTTAGCATGGTTTGGAGGGAAAGAAGAGGGCTTTTTCAGTCAGTCTGTTGTTGTTAGGGATTAGAGCAGGAAGGCAGTTTAGGAGTTCGTGTTTGAGATTAGTTAAGAGTAGGCAGTTTGCCTTAGGTTTGCCAGCGAAGTAAGCTGTAGCAAACTGGAAACAGCTATTAGGGGAAAATAGCTGGATTTGTAGTTAGCTAGGCCAGAGTTGAGGGTAGCTAAGCTACAGTTGTATCTTGACAGAGATTCAGCTCCTGTCAAGTATACTTGGTTTTAAAGAGAAGAAAATCTCTATATTTGTAACAAAGAAAGAACCATTCACAAGTAACCGTTACGCTTTCAAGACACAAGCCAGAAGTTCTCTGTAACCACCAAGATTTTAAACAGCATTTATTCTCTTCTGTATTTCTATCAATAAACTTTCCTTGAATATTTTTAAAAGTTAAAAAGCCTGAGTCAAGTGTGCCTTTGTGGCTATAGTTCTTTCCATTCAACCCCCACTTGGTTTTCTTTGAAGAAGAAATAATAAAACATAGTGCTGGGTGTTCTTAAAAAGCATTTTTACCATTCTGAACAGCTAGGGTGTTCCTGTACATTTACTTTGGTGGCAGCGGAAGTTTAATTTGAGAGACATCCCCTCAAACGTTATATAGGTGCCAGTGAATCCTTTATATTGGAGGGACAGGTGGTGGGAGTTGTTTACCCCCTGTCCAGAGATATTGTTTGCCATACACGTGCCTTTATAGTCATCCTCTTAGAGTAAGGACTGCATCAGACGGAGCTGGGGAAAATGAGAGAAAGTGGGGGTGGGGTGAAATCATCCTCTTTGTGTGAAATTTCATCTTTAAAGAAGATTGAAAATTTACTTACCCCATCACACAAGATCACCTCCTACTGCCTCTAGCACAATAAGCTACTTAGAGGAGACCCAAGGCATCATTCCTTAGACACAATTTCTATGGGCTCTTTTACTTGCCCTCTCAATCCCGCTACTCTAGATGAGATCCAAGGCACCATTCTTAAGAATGCCCATTTCTCCGTATTATTGAAACTATTCAACATGGGAGAATCTGACAGATCCCATCACATATGTTTTACACATATGTTTCAATGTTTCAACATGGGAGAATCTGACAGATCCCATCACATATCATTTCCAATCCCAGAGCATATATATATGTGTGTGTGTGTGTGTGTGTGTGTGTGTGTGAAATTTTACAGGGGTGAGCCTTAAAAGGATAGAGTCCAATATGGGGTAAGGGGAAAAGGAGAAGAGTGGGTGGGATAGTAAAAGGACTGAGGAGGGGAAAAAATAGGAAAAAAAGATGTATTAAACTCCCATTCTTCTTTATAATGGTGTAAAAAAAAACCTTTGAATTTCCTTTCTTCTTCCTTTCTAGGTTGTTTAACTTCAGTAATTCTCAGGTCCTGAACTCTGTTCATAGTAGCATCTTGAGGTTATTTTCTTTTATCTATTCCTTGATAGGGGTTCAATGAGTTGTTTTGATGTGTTTGTTCTGTG